CAGCTGCTTCCTGTGCCCGCAGCAGCTGCCAAGGCCACACTTAATGAGTGCCTGCTGGGCACATGGGCAGCCAGGTCCTTCCTGTCCTATGCCTTTGGCTCCCTTAGCATCTCCCAGACCAGCAGCTGCTCCCAACTCTGTCCAGGCTGGAGACAGAGGGTCAGGTGGGTGCTGACACAGTGCTGACATCCCAGGCTCCATCCCAAGTGTATCCCAATTTCAGGAAGTCCTTGGCCATTGGTCCCAGCTCCACACATGCTGAGAACAGATGGCAAAAGGCACCAAGGAACACTCCTCAATCCAGGGGACCCAGTGTGGACTCCGTCACTGCTTCATCCCTTGACCTTGGGTAACCTGCCCTCCCTAGGACTCAACCTCGCCATGTGTAAAACTCCGGGGATGCTGGCTTTGCTCGGGACCCTGTGACTGCCTCCTAGCTGCTTCCTAGCACGCGCAACAGTGGAGCACAAGAGGGTCTCCTTTATCTAAAGTAAAACCCAGAGCCTTCTCACATTGGCTTGGCAAAGATGACAGGCAGAGAACGGGAAGCGACCACGGGTCTCCCATTCCCATTAGGGCTCTCTCACCTGGACTCCAGTGCCCCAGGCCCCATTGGTCACCGCCAGTGTTCTAGATCCAGCATGGACTCAGACCCACCTAGGGACCCCCTCAGAGTCACCGCGGCAGGCTTAGAGGACACAGACACAGGAGCCTGAATCCACTGGGCAGAACACAGGCTCTGAGCAAGCTTCACCCAACACACAGCTCCATAGGCAGCCACTTCCATAGGTGTCCGTTCCATACCTCCCAGCTGGCTGTCCCCTGGCACTGCCATGCTCTCGCCCTCTAATGGGGACTTGGTCACCTCCACACCAGAGACACCCCCAACTGGCATGCTCCCCTAGACCCAGCTGCCTCTCTGGGAGCCTCACCCCCACTCACACTGGTGCAGCACCCCTGGGCTCTGCAGCTGGCCTGGGGGCAGGTGCACGTCTCCAACCACAGAGCTTTTCAGTTGAGTTTCCCAAGCCCTTTCCCCAGCCAAAGCTGCAGATGAAACCCATACCAAGGACAACTCTGGCAGAAGCAGGTAAAGGTCTAAGTGCAGCCCCACCCCCAGCTGCCAGCCCGGGAACCTGGGCACAGCTCCTATGCTCCCACCCCATAGCAGTGTGGGAACTAGGGTCTGGGGTCACTGCCCCTTTTATGCCCCTGGGAGGACGGGCTCAGCCAACCACTTCTCCCAGGACCTGTCACCAAGGTCCCCCTCACAGGCACACAACTTCCGCTTGAGCCCCATCCCCCACTCTTCTCAGCAATTCTGAGTGAGCCCACGTCCGACCTCTGGAGCCAGCCTGCACTGCCCAAACCGCCCTGGTGTGGACAACAGCCTGGGTCTCTCTTTGCTTGGGAGAAGATGCTGAAACCATTTGATAAGCATCCTTTCCTGGAAACACCTGGGGACACAGACTCTGGAGAAGGGGGTGTATAGAGAAGATTCTAGAGGTCAGCCTAGGCCTGAACACTCTCAAAGACTGCCCCATCAAATCCTACAGACAGCCATGAGGCAAGTACTGTGCTGGGGACCTTTTACACATAATTCCATGCATGGGAGCCCTAGGCCAGTCACTTAGTTCTGGTCTGCTCCATGTGCCTGAGGCCTTCCCTGGATAGTCATTCAACCTGGTTCTAGCCGATGAGTTTGGAGGCCTTTGCCAATGCTCTGGGCTCACAGCTGGGCCCCATCTCCTGTGAACACTAACAATTTCAGGCAAGCTGGGTTCCCTCCAGCAGCTGCCAAAGATAATCCCTTTCCAGGCCTCAAGGTCTCCTCCTGCCCTGGGGGCCACCTCCTGAGAGTCCAGGGGAGCAGCCTGACCCTAGTTGGCACCTCCCACAGATGGAGGGTCACACAGCACCCAGAGACCCTCACACACACGTCTCAGAGTGCCCAGCCTGGGGGCCCGGGAGTTTACGAGGAGGGTGGCAGAGTTCCAGCTCCTGTAGCTCGGGCTGCCAGGCTACCAGGCTGCTAGGCTGGGGAAGGCTAGCCAGAGAGCCCGAGGCTGTCAGGCAGGCCACAAAGCTGGGCTCTCGCCATCTCTTTCAGAGTCCTGAGAGGCCTGACCCTCAAGTCCCTTGTCCCCTGAGGCCAATCCCGCCCCAAGCTCAGGCACATCTGCAATTGCCAAGGGAGCAGCTGCGCCCCCCCCCCCCCCCCCCCCATCCCAGGCCCCCTGAGAGCCAGGCGGCTCTGTCCGCACCCCAGCCTCTGGGGAGGCAGGTGAGCCGCCCAGCCCTCCCTCCCTCCCTCCCTCCTCCTGGCAGCAGGGCCCTGGCCTCCCTCACCCCTCCTGAAACAGAACGCTGACGGCTGCTGTCATTCCGTTTGAAGAACCTTCACAGCAGTCCCAGATCCAGCGAGGAAAGGGAGGGGGTGTGTGCGCGCACGTCGCACGGTCAAAGGCAGCCAGCTGTCAGGACCGGCAGAGTAAGAAGCGCCCAGAGTCTCATTAGTAGCCTCCTTCCTCTGACCCCAGGGCAGCAGGGGAGGTGCCTTATACTCCTCCTCGCACAGTGCCAGGCTCTGTCCCCTGCGGGCTGCGGCTGGGGAACAGAGCCAGCCCCTTCCTCATCAGGGTGACTCTTAACCCTGTCACCAAACGCTGAGGACTTTGGGCCAGGCTTCCTCTGGGGGAACAGCCTGGCCCCTCCTCTCCCCCAGCTGGTGACCATGCCCACAGAAGCACCTCCCAGAGCCCTCGGGGAGAAGCCCCTAGCTCAGTCTTCACCCTGGGAGAATGAAGCCCACAGCACAGCTCCTATGGAGAGGGGGGTGGGGGGAGGAGGGAGAGTTCTCATCAAAGAGGTGACGTCAAAACCAGGCAACCTGTGAAGCTGTCAGGGGCCCGGAGATTTGGACAAAGGTGTCTAAAAATAAACCCCGAAGCCAGGAAAAGGCTCTGGTGGCTGAGTGGCTTGCCACCGCACCACAGGCTGAGCGCCCTATTCTAAGCCCCAGAACCCAGACAATCTCTTCCCGGGGTGCTTCTCCAGATGAGCCCCGAGGCTGAGGACGGCAGAGGCAGGACCCCAGCTACCACACGCGGGCCCTTCCTTGAGGGAAAACAGGAGCCGAGCGGCCTGGGCCGCTGATGCGTCCCCTCCCACCCTCAGCACCAGCCCAACCCCAGTCCCGGCAAGCACCTCCCGCCCAGGACCCTCTGGCCGCCACCCTCCAGCTCACAGAGACAATTCCTCCCTGCCAACACGCGGCTCCGCAACAGCCCTCCTGCTTCCAGGGCTTCTCACCCTCTTTCTTCAATGCCCTCTGGGACTACTAGGCCACGGCGGGTGACCTGGGGCCTCATCCATTCTACGGGCCCCTTGCACCTCTTACCCAGGACCCGTGTGAGTGCCCACTTCCATCACCAACTACCCTGTCCCAGTCCCCAGGTTGTTCTGAACAGCAAAGTCACGAGTCCACCAAGCTCCCTTCTATGCAGACTTGCTTGTCCCGTTCCCTGCCCCAGCTGCACCGGGCTCGCCCCCTGCATGGCCCTTGCTGCCACAGGCTCTCCCCTGCCCGCTGGCCCCACAGAAGCTAAGAGACGCAGGGCAGCCTCCCAGGTCAGAGCTGTCAGCAGGCTGATGTCCCCAGACATATCCACACCCCTGCGCTCTGAACTCCAGGCTCTGCCTGCATCGCTGCTGACTCCGGCCCCTACTTGGCTGCCTCTCAGGCCATTTCACTGACTCAGACAGGGCTGGTTTCCCCCAAAACCAGGTCCTCCCACCATCCTCCACACCCACGGAAGGCATCACTATGTGCCCGCCCACCCGCCTGGACCAGGGGAAGCAGAGCCCTCTGCGACCCCTTCTGCTTCCTCCCTTCCCCAACAGCCGTGCCTCGCAAAGCCTGTCAGTTCTACCCCAAAATACAGCGCAGACTCCGCCCTTGTCTGCACCTCTGCAGCCACTGGCGCGGCCCCAGCTGCACCATTCACACTGGATGCACGCAGCCTCAGAAGCACTTCCACCTGGCCCCCGTGCACGATCCAGACCCTCCCTGCCCAGGGACCTGGCGGCCCTTCTGCAACAGACCTGGCTGGATGTGCTCCTTTGCTGTCACTGCACAGGAACCAAACCAGAGCTCCCCAGCTGCTCTGGCCAGGACCCTCTGATCTCCTCTCCAAAGGCTCTCCAAGTGCTCTGGCCAGAGGCTGCCCCTCGGGAGGCTGCCCTGACCACTGAGGCCAGCAGTCCCGACTCGCCTCACCCCGCTTTCCCAGCAGCCTTGCTGTTTCTGAACGACATGTGCTACCACTCTCCTCCCCACCCCGTGAGTGCTTACTCCATGCACCATGTTTCACATCACACGCCGCACAGCACCTGGCACAGACACTCAATAAACACAAGTCCAGCGAATGTTTCCAAGCCCAAACAGGGTTGCTTCCACAGTATCCAAGTACATAAAACACTTAAACCAGGGACCTCTGTCAGACCTCCTGGTGGCCGCCCCTCATCCTTCCTCCAGGCAGGCTGGGCTGCTGGCATTGCCAATGACCGGGTCAGGCAGTGACGTGGACAGGGCCTGCCATTGCTGCCTCAGTCCTGCCCAGGGAACAGGCGCACAGGCCCAGGGAGAGGCAGGGCCAGGGTAACACGTGCCCTGCAGGCCTCTAGTAGACAGTCTGGGCCTGTCCATCCACCTGAGCACAGTGTGGAACGAGCAGTAAGGATGAGCACTAAAGTCAGACAACAATAGGCCGGGCCAAGTTTCTGCAACAAGCTCTCTGAGCTCCTGGGAGATCCTCTGGCCCTCCACAAGGTCTCAGGCATCTGAAAGAGAGGCCAACAGCCTCTGCCCATCTTGCACAGGCACCTGCTCACAAGAGCCCCAAGGTGCTTCTCTCCGCAAACCACCCCTTCCTCCCACCCTGGGCAGTGCTCCCCAGGACCTGGCTGCCGTTCCCACACACACCAGGTCTGTGCCTCACCTTGATGTAGGTGTCCAAGGCAGGGTGGACACGGCGGGCAGCCAACCAGATAGACAGGGCGGTGGTGTAGGGGAAGGTGGCTGTTACCACATGGCTGGGTGCCGGGAAGGAGAACAGCTTGAAGCCAAATCTCTGGTAGAGCTGGATGAGCTCGGGGGAAGGTGACTCCTCTCCCTCACTCAGGATGCTGCCCACTGCACAGCGGCACTTCTCGGAGGGCACCTGGGGAGGGAAGGCAGAGGGGGTGTCAGCGTCTGGCAAAGGGCTGCGGCCCTCCTTCCTCCTGGCTCTGTGCCAGCTCTGGCCTGGCAGAACCACCAGCTCCCACAGGCCAGGCAGCCTCAGAGGCCAGGACGGAGTCAGCGGTTTTCCTGCTGCAAGACGTCCGTGGCGCTGCCGGTGGCAACCTGCCGCAGGACATCCATCCACACCTTACCCATTCCTGCAGCAAACACATCGTGCCCCGTCCTGGAGACCTGACTTGGTCTCAGCCTCCAGAAGCCAGGGAAAGGGAAGGACGAGCAGGGCCTCTGAGCTGCCACCCTCTGCACAGCCCAGTGCAGCCCAGCTCCTGATGTGACCTGCTGGTCCCCGCCCCCAGGGCCACCAGACCTTCAGCCCAACCAGCTCCTCACCCCCATCACCTGGAGGCTTCACTGGTGGCGAAATGATGGCAGGCAAGGCAGCAAAAGTGGGGAGTGGGACCAGGAAAAGAACCCAGCGCCCTCGAGGGTCACACCCCAGGGCGGCAAGAATGTGTACATGCATGTGTGTGTGGGCGCCCACGTGTGCCAAGCCAGATGCCAAATCCCGACACGGGATGGTGCAGGACTCTGGGCTGCTGCTGACATTTTGTGAGGGGCCCTCCTCCCAGCCCCCCTGCAGGGCCAGCCACCCTCGCCAGGGCCTCCAGACCTCTCTAACCCCCATCCCAGAACCTTCCCTTCCCCACTTCCCAAGTCCCTTCCTGGCTGGGCCTCAGACTGCCGGCTCCCCTCCAAGGCTCTCAGTGCCTGCACTTCCCACTCTGCTCCCCTCCCTGCTTCCCAAGGTCGCACAAACCCAGCCAGGTGGGGCTCTTACATGAGTCTCCAACACTTCCTAGGACCAACCCAAGCCCCGTGAGGCCCAGCGCATCCATTGCCTCCTGCAACCTGCTGCCCACGCCGGCTTTCCTGCTGTCAAGTCTGTACCAGCTCCCAGGCCAGCCCCCTACCCGCTCCCACCAGCACGTTCCTGTATTCAGGACACTCACCACTGGTCCTGTGCTTGCAATCCTGGGTTCTGCTCTGTCTGAAGACTCCTTTCTCCTTTAACCCAGGGCCCAGGGCTTCCTCAGCACCCAGTATGCTCTTCTACTCCCATCAACCCAGCCCTGCCTTGGGGTCACACTTTGCCTGGAAGTAGGGCACCTACACCAGGCTCTCACCTCTGAGTGGACCCTATGGTCACCTATGGGTCACCCCCAGGTCTCTGCAGCCCTCGCCTCCTTGCTGCCCCCTCGAATCCCAAGGCACCAAGCCTGGTGCAGCGCTTTCACGGCAGGCAACAGAGGCATAGCAGCAGAGAGGGAGGCCAGGCCGCGACTCCTGAGTTGTGGGACACAGACCAGGTCCTTGGGTCCTGGGGAGCCCTGGTCTCTTGATGTCCACTTCTAGAATTACCATCTAAAGGTGACACTGAGCCCAGGCTCAGAACTCTGCTAGAGCTCCAGAACAGCTGAAGTTTATTAGCAGCTGTGACACAGTCCCCAAAACTGTCCCTCACCTGGCCTAGAGTGCCTGTCCTCCCTGCCCACTAGTCAGGGTCGCGTGCACTCTTGGGGAGCCTTTCAGTGGCACTCTTCCCACTCCACCCCAACACTTGCAGTAAACTGTCTGTCTTACAGTAAGTCTACTTTGGCAATCACTTCTCTCAGCTGAAGCCCCACCCCACGGAGGGAAGAGAAGAGGTGGCTGCAGTACCATCTCTTGGCTCTAGATGGTGCAACTGCCCCACTCATAACAGAAGACTCCAGCATCACCAGACAGGAGGTTCTGGCAGGCCTCCTGTTAACAGGCCAAGGGCCTGTGCCACGAAGTCTAACTGCTGTCCATGACCCTGGCAACCTATTTGATACAAAGGATCACTCGATATAGGTCTGATGGAGAAATGGCTAAGAGGTCACTTGCTCTTTCCTCTCCACCCCGTGGTCCGTCTGGGTTTGGGTTGGAGGGTCTTTCCTGGGTCATTTCAATAGCCTTGTGGGGGCTCCCAGATCAGCACTCTCTCACGTCCCTCAAAGGCACCAGAGCGCACACACACACTCTGCTTAGCTGCTCAGAACCTCCTGTGGCTCCCAGCTTGCCTCGCAACTCCCAAGCCCATCACAAAAGGCTCTGAGAGCAGCCCACACAGCACTGCCCAGACTTGTCCACACACTCACTCACATGCCCCTCTGCAACCCCAGGCTCCAGGAGGGGCCAGGGCCCAGATGGGCAGCGCCCACTGAACATCTACGTGGCAGAGGCAGGGACGGAGCCGGGATCTGGCCCAGCCCGTCTCGCCAGCCTCCTCACCCGCCACACCCCCGCCGCACGCCCACGTGGAACTATTCACAGCTCCCCAAACACGCCACATCCTCCCGTGCTTCCTGCCTCTGCATAAGCTACTTCCTCTGCCTGCAGTGTCCTTCTGCACCCTGTTCCAGAGCCCCTTCTGCCTGGGAACCTCCTGCCCATCCTGAGAGCCTCAGCTCAAGCCTCCGCCTCAAAGCCTTCTGTTCTCCCCGGGAGGCAGCCCCTCCTCTCTACTCCTCTCTACTCCTACATACCCAGGAGGGGGCAGGGGTCCCGCACACACGGAAGGCCCTCGGCAAACGCTCCGCAACAGTGCACATGCACACAGCTACACACAAAAGCCCTGCTCCTTGAGCAAGCCTCCTCTCCCTCCACCTGGAGGAAGTGAGGAGCCCCTGGCACGGTGGAGGGAGACAGCCCATCAGGAGATGGGATACTGGAGATGTGTATGGGGTGGGTGGGTGGGGGGCAACAGTGACTCCCTGCCTCCTGAGCAATCACCCAATGCTGCAAGTGAAGACACTCCCTGCCCCTTTTCCTGCCCTGGTCAGTGCCCTGGTCAGGCGCAGCCTAGGAGGTCCCTCAGCAAGCCTACCACCTGCTGAGCAGTCCAGGACAAGCTGAAGGCATGGGGCAGTTGACCCAGGCACCAGTAAGGGGAGCCAGGCCCTAGAACAGCCCAGGCAGTGGCAAGCTGTCTACTCTCAGGGGAAGGTGGCCCAGGCCTCCAGTTCCAGGGCATTGCCTACTAAAGCTGTCAAGGGCCCAGCTGGGGCAGTGCTTCACCTGTGTTTAGGCCTAACCCCAGGACACAGGCTTGGGCCCCCAGCTACTCCAGCCTGCTCCCTTTCCTCCCCATATCAGACATATTTCAGGGTACCTCTGCTCAAAACAAGCGCTGAACTGCAAGTAGCACAGAGAGGAGCTAGGGCAGGCAAGCTCACCCAGCACTTGCCCTAGAGTACCAGGAAAGGGAGGGGCATGCTAGGCTCCCGGGGCACTTCCCTCAGTTTGCAAAGCCTCCTGGGCTCCTGAGTCCCAGCTGGGGGAGATAGGGGCCATCCGCTAAGAACCTAATGCTGGTCCCATTGCCCCTTCCAGAAAGGTCTCACAGGGCCCAGCCAACCCTGTTGTGTGAGGCCACAGTGAAGACAGTCACCTCAGGGCCCCTGCCCTGGCCAAGACCTCACTGAGCCTGGGAGTTGGACAAGACTGATGTGATGTCTGCCAGGACCCAGGAAAGAGAAATGGTGTCAGTTGGCCCAGCCCAAACCCACCACTGGGTTTGGTAGAAATCGACAGCCCTGGGCCCACAACCTGTGCACCTCACAGGGCTGCCCTGAGCTCTCCCATACCAGTCTACCCAACCCAGAGCTCCCCAAGGTGATGGGGGAAGGGGCAGTGCCTTTCATGTGCCCTGGGATTCCCAGGAGGGCAGAACAGCTGCCCACTGCTGGAGGCTGCAGCTGGGCTTCATTTCCCCTCTCGGGTGCTGCAGGTCAATGCACAAAGCCTCATGCATGCCACATGCCTGAGAGGCTGGCATCCAGAGGCACAGCAGGGCAGGCGCCAGTCAGGACATGGGCTGACGGGGGCAGGGAGGGGTCCACAGGTGCCACCCTCACAGGGCAGTCTTGGGGCTGTCTCAGGAATCTCCCTCTACCCGCACCCCCAGGCAGGACCCTAACAACAGCTGTTATCTGACATGGCACCCACCAGTTGCTTCCTTCTACACACCAACTCACCAACTCCAAACAGCCTGTGTGGTCATACTGTTGCCGAGCCTGTCCCGGAGGCCCAGAGAACCAAGCCACTCAGCAAAGGTCACACAGCAAGGCAGTGTTGGTCCAGAACTGCACACACAACTCAGGGCCACTTGGGAGAGAAACAGGCCCTGGCCAGAACGGCCTACACAGTGGCTTCTCCCTGCAGTGAGCCACACCTCGCACGGCCTTGGTGACCTGCAGGAGCTTGGGACGAGGCCAGAAGCAGGCAGGCACAGTTCCTAAAAGTATAAAGTACCCATGGCACAAGGCCCTCACAGGAAGGACTGGCTGCAGCCGAGCCTGCGAGGCACTGACTAGGGCCATAGGGCCTTACCCTGTCACTCAGTCCCCACAGAAACAAAAGCCCGAAGATAGGGACTCCCTTCCATCCCGACTGGCAGGGAAGGAGACAAGACTGCAAGAGGCTGAGTGACTCACCCGGGGTCACCGACCCAAACCCACAAGAGCGAATCCAGAGCCCTCTCCCCTGCGCCACGCCTTCCTCCCAAGGGCAGCTCTAGAGCGCAGAGAGGGGCTCACCTTTCCACACCTGTCCCCCACAGTTAAGCTACGGCACAGCGACTGCCTGGACTCTACCTGGTCTTGGACCCTCAGGAAACATCAGCCCTGCCATGTTCCCATGTCCCTGCTCAGGATGTGAACGCTGCACAATTCCTTCCCAGGTGCCATCTGCTGGGTGCCCGCACAGAGGGCAGGAGGGCCTAGGCCCACATGCGGAGGGGGCAGGGGACCGGCACGGGCCTAAGTCAGAACCCTTACAGCCTCCGCCCCTGCACCCTGGGCCTCAAGTCTCAGCGAACTAAGTGGGGGAGGGGGGCTTCGCTGACTGCCCAGCTCCCTGAAGGCAGACCCAAAGTGCCACCCGACCCCCATCCACCCAGGACAAGGGCAAACTCTCCTTCCAGGTGGGGAAGTATAAGCAGCAAATCCTAGCCCATCTCAGCCAGGGAAAACTGGTGGCCACACCGCTCTTGCCTCTGCCAGGCGCCCCACAAGGGCAAGCAGGCAGGTTGCTTAAGCCCCAAACACAGCAGCGGAGGTGGCAGGAGAGGGTGGGGCAGGAGGTGGCAGGCCAGGCTGGTAGCCAGGACAGACCCACAGGCACAATGACAAACAGCCCAGCTACAAGGACCTACCTGTTGACAGGCCGGAGGTGGCCAGGATCAAGTGGGGTGCTCGGGGTCCTCTCAGCTCCTTCCCCTCCAACACTGAAGGCTCCCGGAGGGCCAGGCCCAGAAGGGAAGGCTAACGTCACTTTCCACACCCCCGACACCCACCCCAGAAGCGTGGCCAGGCCAGAGCAGCTTTTTTAAGGCAGGGCCCTACCCCAGCTACAAAAGGGCAGTGTGGGGCGGTGTGTAAGGGTGGCTGGGGGGAGGCGTGCAGATCCCTAGACAGCCACCTACACCTCACCGTGGTCTCTGGCACTCACCCCACTCCCTCAGGTACCTTGAAGGAAATGATCCATACTCCATGAATGCTGGGCCCTGGACAGGGGAGGGACACCACTGAGCCACAGCCACGATCTGGTCCACTTCCAACACCCTGCCCTTCCTCGACCCTCCCCCCACCACGCCAAGCCCTTTGCTGATGGAGAATGGAACCGTTCCTCCTGCTTCACAGGAAGCCCTAGCCCAGACCCTGCAGCCTCCTCCGCACAGGACTCTGGGACATGGGGCTAACAGCTCAAGCAGCATCTGGCATGAAAGGGTCCACAGCAACACCTTCTGTCCTGCCTCGATGGCCTTTCTTGCCACTTCTTGGGCCCAGAGTTAGACTAGTCAGGGCCTTACCAGGCCTTTTTCAGGAATGAGCCCCTGCCCCCCGCCAGCTAGGGACAGGAGCTGAGGCCAGGAGTGGGTGTGGCTGGGGAGCTGTCAGTACCACCTTGTGGGGGTGGGCAGCATCAACAGTGAGGTGCACCTGTAAGCTGCTTACTCACTGCCCCACACAAAGAGACACAAACAGCCTCACTTCCTCCCCACACTCACAGAGAAGCAGATTCTGCCTCCTGTTGTGCTGGGCTGGGACAGTCAACAGGGCTGCCCAGATCCTGTCCTCCTCTGAGAACCAGAATATGCATGGTGCCAGGCTGGACACTGCCAATGAGCGCTGCTGGTGGAGGCAACCTCTGGGGCCGCGAGAGTGAGTCCTCAGCTTCTCCAGCACTGAGATGGGGGCCCCTCCTCCAGGTTCCCCTGACATCGCACAGCACAGAGCCTGGCATAATCAGATGCTCACACCTTTGCTGAATGAAAAATGAAAAGTCTGAGACCACAGTACCTTGCTTCTGCTATTGGAACCTCAGTTTCCTTCCCCTTCCGTAATATCAGGAGTATGGATCAGGAGGCCTGAGCTCCTGACTGACCAGACAGTCTGTGGTAGCCAAGAGCACCTTAAACCTAGGGTCCAAGGTTCCCTGAACCTTTTATGATCTCCACCAGGCAGAGAATTAACTGCCCAGCTGCCAAAGTAGGTGGGGACCCAGTGTCCCTGAGCCATCCCAGGTGCCAAGGTGTGATCCAGCAATGAACGCAGACATAGGTATCTTCAGGAGTGACCCGGCTCAAATCAGAGGGGCCACCTTGACCCATTCATTCATCCTCTGTGCCAGCGACAGGTCCAGTGCTGGGCCACGGGTCCAGGCCTGGGTCCCAGCTGCTCGGCCTGAGTGCTTTGTACCCTTTGCTTTGCTGTTGGCGTACGTGACAGCCAGGTGCTGGGGAGGATGGCTCACCTGGAGCACCTCACTTGGCCAGCAGAGCACCTGTGACTCAGGTACTCCTATTTTATCACTACTCTGCAGGTGAGGAAACAGAGACTCAGAAAGAGATACCCAAGATCACACACTGGGACACTTTCGGGACAGGACCAGAACCTGCTCTCCGGCCACAGTCCCTCAGACCCAAGAGGCAACGTGCTGCTTCCAGAACAGGCAGATGTGCCACACCGAAGAGGCAAGAGGCAGCCACAGGACTCTCGTCCCTCTCACGGGAGCCTTGCAGCAGGCTCCACATGGGCTAGGGATCAAGGGAGAGGACAGGAAGGGCAGGGACCTACCCAACAGCCCGCCTGCAGGGGTGGGAGGCGGCATCTGGTCCAGGAGCTTCCCACAGCCCAGGGCCGGCCCATCCCACTCAGGTCCCAGTGCCCCCGACTTCAGTCAGTGCCACCTCCGGGCCACCTGACTGCACAACCTCAGTGTCCACTCATCCTCCCACCCGGGCCCGGCCTGACCATTGTGATGGTTTCCCTGCCTCGTCTGCTTCCCTTCCCCACATGCCCTCCAGTCAGTTTCCTGAAACAAGAGTGGCAGATGTGGGCAGGGCCCTTCCTCCCACCTGTTGGACCCTCCCCCTCTTGCTGCCCACCATGCCCAATGGCCACACTTCCCCTGTTATCCCAGGTCTCCAGCCTCTGTTCTTGCAGCCGTCTTTGCTAAGTGGCACATGGTAGCAGAGCAAAATCCTACTCCGGTGTGAAGGCCCAGAAGACTCCACGTCTTCTCTGAGGCCCCTGGGGCAAGCCGCAGGCAGCCTCTTGGAATCCGCAGCTCCAAGTTCCGAGGACGCTGAGCCCAGTGCCTTGTGGGAGAATCGCTTGTGTGGGGCTGATCTGCCAAACACATGGAGCTTCCTGAAGGCAGTGCCACTCTGAGTCAGCTCTAGGGTGCAGGTGTACAGCAGAACCTGGCACAGAGGCAGAATCAGCACGATCCTGCTTCACCAGGAGCTCCGGCCACAGCAAGGCGGCTGCAGGGCTTGCCCGCACCCATCTCCAGGCAGGGAAGTCAGAGCTGGGGTTCCCAACGCTTGGTCTGGTGTGGCCCAGCAGAACTCTTCGGAGAGCTGTCAGCCCAGCCCGCTGTGGGCAGCACCACCCTGTAGCACAGCAGAGTCTACATGGGCAAGCCCTGACTCACCACAGGCACTAACACAGCCAGACGCCCACAGGGTGCCAGTGATGCCGCGTGAGTCTCTGATTCCAGTATCCTGGGCATTCTGAACAGCTCATCTGGCTCCACTTGGCCTTCTCCCAACCAGACAGCTTGAGGGCTAAGGAAATGCCCTGTTGCTGGTCAGGGGGCACCGAGATGGCTGGAGAGGTGGGATTCCAAGCCCGATATCCAGGGGCTGCCCTCTCAGGCCTTGAGAGTCCACAGCCACAGCGGGAGAGCAAGGGAAGCAAAGAAGATGTAATCCCAGAGTGGGCAGAATCTGAACGGCCTGTCCTTAGCACCCCAGTCCCGAATGGACATGGAAACGAGAGAGACAGCAAGAGGAGGCAGCGGACCAAAGTCCTAGCAGAAGCTACTGACTCAGAGTGCTATGGTCCACTGCACTCAGAAATCCATGAGTAGCCACGAGCACGGGGAGTCAAGAGAGCTAGAAGCCAGCAAGTAAATAGATGCCCAAGAGAGCAGAAGTCCAGGATAAATCTCGAAGGGGATCCCAGGTCAGACAGAGATGAGGTGGCCTGCAAGGCCAGGTCAAAGATTTTCCCACATCCTCCTCAAAACCCAAACTGCCCTGGCCCAGGTCCACCTATGGGGCAGGACCCCATGGCGGCTCCTTACCGTGTGGGGGTTGTCGTAGTAGACGGCGATGGAGCGGAGCTTGGGGGAAATGCTGCAGCTCTCGGTGAAGAGCTGCCCGGTCTCGTCATAGGGCCCCACGTGGAACTTGTAGGCCACAGTGATGTTGTGAATGGGGGGTGAGCCGGCACTCACTGCCACCCCGGCCAGCAGCCCTGAGTACCCGGCAAAGGCCAGCAGCGTCAGCAGCAGCAGCAGAGTCAGGCCCCCGATCAGGCCCAGCAGCAGCAGGTCCGACATGGCGCCAGGCCCCCCACACAGCACCCTGAGGCAGCTGCAAAGGAGACAAGGGAGAGGAGGCTGGTAGCCTGCTCTGACCAACGTGCCTACCGGCCCTGCCCGCCAGCTGCTTCTGGCCCAACCTCAGCCCTGCCTTAGGTGCTCTGACCCAGGAGGGGGAGGAGCCAGAGGTGTTTACACACAGAGTGACCTGGAAGGGAGCTATAAAAGATGACTGAAGCCACAAGCCTCTTTATTTCTTAATCACAGTCGTTGAAGCTCTTGGAGCAGCTCTGTCAGCCGGCGGCCCTGGTCACACCTGGGGAAACTGAGTCACAGAGGGGCACAAGAGTGAGTCAGCCAGGTCATACTCCTGGCCCTGACCAGTCTCTCTCATGACGGGTCAGACACCAGCCAGCCTGCATTTCCCCCACACTGCCAGCCCAGCCTGGCCAGAGGCTGAGGAAAGACAGGGCAGTATCAGCATCTAAACACTTACCAACAGACAGGGAGACCACGAGAAACAAAACCCAGGGGGACAATGCGCCATGGAGAGAGACCTTCATAGTGCACTGTGCTTTGCTACGCACACCTGACCTGCAGGAACCTTGCTGCCCAGCTCAGCATGCTCACCCACTCAGAACCAGGTGAGAGATCAGACCAGGACAGCCCGAGCAGCTGGAACGAAGTCCGGCACCAAACTTCCCAGACTTGAACCACCAACAATGACAAGCTTCATCCCCATTCCCAACCCATAAAAGATGAGGAACAGTGAAGGGGAGGAGGAGGAAAGGCTGCTAGAAGGAAAGACACACAAGGAACACAACACAGAGGCTGCTGCGTGAGCCACTCGAGGTAGGCTGCCTAGTCCTCCATGCAGCTTGGGACCCTCTTCTACACAGGGACTGACCTGAGCCGCCCAGCGGGGGGCAAGTCCCAGCATGCAGGAAACCATTGAAACAGCAAGGGAAGAGTGCAAGCCACTGGGGAACATTCTCACTCCAGGCATTCAAAGTTAATATTTAGGGATGAGTATGTGGTACAATGGTTAACGTGCTGCATGGGGTGCACGCATCCCATGTAGGAATGCTTGGGAAGCTTCTGCTTCCAGCTTCCTTCTGGAAGCAGCAGATGATGGCTCGAGTATTTGGGTCCCTGCCACCCACATGGGAGACCTGGCTGGGATTCTGGGCTCCTAGCTTCAGCCTGACCCAGTCCTGGCTGTTACGGGCATCTGGGGAGTGAATCAGCAGATGGAAAATCTCTCTTCTTAAACGTTTGGTTTTAAAGCTAAATTAAATTAATATTTAAAACTTAAAGGGTTTTGGAGCTGAAAAGGCAACACTTCAGCTCTGTGGAAAACTTAGGTCCACGGAAATATGTCTTCCCTATGGGTTCTGGGTTTTAAGATTTTGTGCTGGGGCCTGAGCTATGGCATGGGAAAAGTGGTCGCCTGTGACACTGGCATCCCATATGGGTGTTTGAGACCCAGCTGCTCCACTACCAATCTAGCTCCCAGCTAATGTGCCTGTGAAACCAGTGGAAGATGGCCCAAGTGCTTGGGCTCCTGCACTCACGTGGGAAATCTGGAAGAAGCTGGCTCCTGGCTTCAGATCAGCCCAGCTCCAGCTGCTGCAGCCATTTAGGGGCTGAACCAGCGAATGAAAGATCCATCTCTCCCTCTCTATAACTCTGCCTTTCAAATAAATAAATAAATAAATAAATATCTTTTAAAAAAGATTTTATGTTGAAAAAGAATTGTCTTGGCTGGCACCATGGCTCACTTGGCTAATTCTCCGCCTGCGGTGCCGGCACCCCGGGTTCTAGTCCCTGTTGGGGCGCCAGGTACTAGTCCTGGTTGCTCCTCTTCTAGTCCAGCTCTCTGCTGTGGCCCGGGAGGGCAGTGGAAGATGGCCCAAGTGCTTGGGTCCCTGCACCCGTATGGGAGACCGGGAGGAGGCACCTGGCTCCAGGCTTTGGTTTGGCGTAGCGCTGGCCATAGCAGCCATTAGGGGAATGAACCAACGGACGGAAGACCTTTCTCTCTCTCTCTCTCTCTCTCTCACTAACTCTGCCTGGCAAAAAAAAAAAAAAAAAAAAAAAAGCAAGAAAAAGAATTGTCTTTTGAGCCTAATTTTTGCCTTACAAAGGAGGTAAAAAAATTTTAAAAGATTTTATTTATTTATTTGAGAGGTAGAGTTACAGAATGAGGAAAAGACAGAAAGGTCTTCCAACCACTGGTTTACTCCCCCTGCAGCTCCACCTACATCAGCCAGAGCTAAGCTAAGCCAAAGCCAGGAGCCAGGAGCTAGGAGCCAGGAGCCAGGAACTTCCTCTGGGACTCCCATGTGAGTGCAGGGGCCCAAGCACTTGGACCATCTTCCACTGCTTTCCCAGGCCATAAGCACAGAGCTGGATTGGAGAAGGAGCTTCCCGGACACAAACCGGCACCCATATGGGATGCCAGTGCTGCAGGCAGAGGCTTAGCCCACTACGCCACAGCGCCGGCCTCAAGGTAAATTTTTTTAAAATTTTAATTTTTAAAAAATTTATTTTATTTGTATTTTAAAGGTAGAATTACAGAGAGAGGTGGAGGCAGAGAGATATCTTTCATCCGCTAGTTCACTCCCCAAATGGCAGCAATGGCTGAAGCTGGGCCTGGCCAAAGCCAGGAGCCAGGAGCTTCATCCAGGTCTCCCATGTAGGTGGCAGGGGCCCAAGCACTTGGGCCATCTTCTGTTGCTTTTATAGGTGCATAAGCAGGGAGCTGGATAGAAGTGGAGGAGCCAGGACTTGAACTGGGGCTCATGCAGGATGCTGGCTTTGCAGGAAGCAGCTTAACCTTCTGTGCCACAACACCAGCCCTGATAAAGGAAATTTTTAAGCCTTTGGTGCTATGACACCCTCTTACTCATCAGTGCCTGCCTGTCAGTTTCATTATCTTTTTTGCATCCTACTCTTCTTGTCTGCAGTTAGTTCCACTGCTGTTTCTTTGATGACGGCAACCGATTTTTAACTGGGCACTTATTCTATATCAGGCACTGCCTAAATGTTCGGATGCAGCTACTTTATTAGTCCTCAAAGCAATCCAGCAATATAGGCATGCATCAGGAAACAAGCAGCTGGAGGTTAAGAGACTGTCAAGGTTCTGACAGGTCCTGAACACGGCCACCTCGACCAGAACGCCGGCGGGTGGGTGGGCGGTGGGAACTTCGGCAGTCTGCTCCCCGGCCCTCCATCCGCTTCCTGGCTTCATAGCCATCACCTGCAGTGCCAACAGCCCATACTGGCACCCAGTTCATGTCCCCGCTGCTCTACCTCTGCTAATGGCCTGGGAAGAGCAGTGGGAGATGGCCCAGGTGTCTGGGCCCCTGCGCTCACATGGGAGACCTGGAGGAAGCTCCTGGCTCCCCCTGGCTTTGGCCTGGCCCAGCCCTGGCTGTTGTGGCCATCTAGGGAGTGAACCAGTGGATGGAAGACCTCTCTCTCTGTGACTGACTTCAAAACATACAGACGAAAGGAAGGAAGCAAAAGAAAAGAAAAGGAAATCTCTGAACACCAGGCTGGATGGAGGCTCGCAGCTGCATACTTTCTGACCCTCTAGGGAATTTAGCTCTTCTCTTTCTCTTCCTTTCTCCTTCCAAGCTGCTCAGAAAGACGAGGTGGGGTAGAGGCCTGCGGTGCCCAGAGCTTTGACTAGCACAGGAGCCTGGAGAGGGGATGCATAGTCCCCTTCTCATCCAAGAGAAACCGAGGAAGGGCTGGGGAGGCTCACCTGAAAAGCCAGGCTCTTTTAGCAATTCATGGCATCCAGCGCGGCACGGGCCAACAGCTCCAGGCTAGGGGCAGAAAGCAACAGTCACCCCAGCCCAGGAAAAGACCGGGGAGCCGGGCACCCGGCCCTGCTACCCACTTTCTAGGGCACGCCCACAGGGGGCCTCCACAGGCACCCGTACTCCATCCTCAGGCCCCCTGGGGGCATTCGAAGCCAAGCCCAGCCCCACACTGTCTGGGCGTCTCACTAGGGCCCCCGCTATTGCCCCATCTTCCTGGAGGGATCCGACCACCGCACCCGGCGCTGAAACCGCCGCCCTCGGGCAGCTGTGCCCTCTCTCAGGCCGCGGCTTCCCCTAGGGTCAGGGGCCCGGGATGGAAGCCTGCTGCTGGGTGCAGGGGAGCGTCAGAGCCGGCTGCCGGCGTCGGCTTCCTGGTACCGCTCACGTGCGCCGCGGCCGAGGGCCGGGCTCTTAAAGGGCCCGACGGCGAGCAAAACTTGGGCGCAGGCGGAGAGCGGGAAGCCCCGGGGCCCGCGGGGGAGGAAGGTCGCCGCCTCCCACTCCCGGCTCCCAGCCCCAGCTCACCGGAGCCTCGCCAAGCTTGCCCAGCCCCCTCCTCTTCGCCTTCGACCTCACCGAGCCCGCGCACCTCCGTAACTTAGACACTAAAGTTTGCAGCCCGGACAGCGAGGCGCGGCCTCGGGATGGGGGCGGAGTTAAAACGTGACTCCTGCCTCCGTTTCCCTCCAGCTCCGCTGCCCCGGGGACTTGTCCTATAGCCGCCGCTGAGGCGATGGGCGGGCCCCAGATAGTAGGAGCTAGCCCAAGGTCGCATTCAGGCCCTCGGACCCAGCCGGGACCTACTGAGGGCCAGGCGCTATGCAAAGAGTGGCCCCGGCAGCGGGGATTCCGGCGGTCACGCCAAGGCGGAAGGGAGTGGTCCCTGGCGCGGACACCTCTGCTCGGGCCCGGCCCTCACCTCAGCAGCCGCAAACCGCGGACGCCGATCGGAGCAAGCGGCTTGGGGCTCGGTGGCGGAGCCTGCGCGCGCTCGCCGCTCACGCTCCGCTCCGCCCCCTGTCGCGGCGGGACGTGGCCGTGGCCGTGGGCGCGTGCGTAGGGACCCGGAGGGCGGAGGCCTGCCCCGCCCAGTCCCCATGGCAACGGGCGCGCGCCAGTCCCCAGGAGGGTCTGGGCTGGGCGGGCTTTGATCACCTCAGCCACAGCTCCGGGGCTGGGGGCAGTGGGCCGGCTGGTCTGCACTCGAGCGCCAGGCCGGGGGCCCAGGAAGCCGGGACTGTGTGCGTTAGGGGGCGCAGCACAGTACTACCAGTCTTTAGCATTTGTACCACTCCGACTCCAGGCACTTACTCGCTGAGGCTTCGTGACAGACCTGGTTACCAAACAAGGCAGGGCCTCTTGCACCGGTTTTGTGGCTGAGAGCGCGTGATCTGAGAGCTCAGGGAAGAAGCTGGTGGATCCAACCTGTGGACGGCGCAAATACCTACTTCCTGCCTCAACTCACACCAGCTACTCCCCTTCTGGGAGCACAGCGGTGGTCACTTATCCGGCCATTCATCCATCTGGTATTTACTGAGTACCAATCCCTGTCAGGGCAGTTTCAGGGGCTGCGGACACTGAGTGGGCAAAGCCACAGCCCTGCCGTCCTGAAGCTCGCATTCCACAGGATGCCTCCCTGCCAGGGCCTCCCTCGGTGCTGGGGATGCGGCCAGGGGGAGCTGGTCTGCCCTGATGTAGCGCAACCCCTGTAACTCCCAGGTCAAGTGCAAATTCCTTGAAGACAGCTTCCGTCTTCAGCCATGCCACAAAGCACTCTGCTAGACTCCGGAAGCTAAAACCCTGCCCTCCCGAGAGACTTAGCATTGCTGTGGAGGCGGAAGGGAAGATGACAGCTATGCCCATAGTTTGGAAACAAGATAGGCTGAGCCACAAGCCATCTTAGTGCTTCCGACAAGGACGCCTGTTTGAGAAGGGGGTCACCAGGAAGGTGGCCATGGGAAGTCAGCAGCCATGGGGCCATACATCTTGTGGGTAACGCTCCTGCACCAGCCAAAGGGCAGGCTGGGCAGAGGCAGTGGTAATCCTGGCATCCTTTCACCCGCTTCACATTCTTCCCACCGGGGCAGGGAAGATTGACCCTCAGCTGCACAACCAAGCCTGTCCCAGCACTCTTGGAAGACTGGGCACAGGCATTCAGGACTGGGCCAGCAGGTCACGGCAGTTCTGTTTTATCCATGAATGTCAAGCACATAATCAAATCCTTCAGATGCTCCAGCCAAGTGGGCTGTTGACTTGAAAGCATTTCCTATGACAAAGAGGGGGCATGGCACTGGCTCAGAGGCACACAGTCTCTGCTTCTCGCGTGTCCACAACCAACACTCCTGCTTCTTGGGAAACCAGTCTGGAGCGGCCCTTCCCGCATCTTCTCTCTGCTGACTTCCTTTGGCCTGGCTAGAGAACTCCAGAGCTCCACATCACAGCCCAAGGGTGTGCCTTAGGAGCTTCAGCACTTCTGTGGTGGAAGGAGACCCCTCCTGTGACCAGCTGCAGGCATCAGCATGCTCCAGGACTTCATCACAGGGTGCTTCCAACAGTGCAAGGCCTCAGCTGGCCACCAGGAGGCAGCAGCCCACTTCACAAGGCACTTTTTTCACTCCGTGGTAATAGGTCTGAGACATAATGGCACAGCCATTTGCTCCATCCACCCTTCACTTACAGGGCTATGTCCCAACAGCACATATTTCCCTATTGTGATCCCAGACTTGGCCTTTGACTCCTCTGGCCTTCCTCTAAATGATTTCCAGACAATGTTCCCCCAGGGCTCCTCCCCTTAAAGAAATTAAATCTGGGAGCCAGAGTGGGCTGTCCCCTCTGTCCCTGGGGCCCCTCACTCTATGGCCCAAGTTAGCTCTCTGAGGGACAGTGGTTAGATTCAGCAACTCAGATGAAAACCAAACACACAGGAAGCTTAAGATGCTCAGCACACGCTGCCAACAGCCACTCAAAGACACCAATCTCAGAAGGTGATGATACAACACCCAGGTCCTGGCCATTCACAGCCTGGTCAGGACTGCCCTGCAGGACCTGCCATGGCTGAGGAAGGGCCAGCCTTAAGCTGCTCTAAGTCAGCTGGGCTGTTCCAAGCCTTGAAATGCAGTGGTGGCCCAGTTTACTCAGAACTCTTCAGGAAAGCAAAGGCAGAAGCAGCCTATCTGTGCTATGTCTCCGCTTTCTCACCTCCAGGTACTATCCAGTGCCTACCACGCCCTGGGTGCTATCCAGACAAATGCTTTATCAAACAACACTGCCTTCTTGAGTTTAAATTTTATTTTACAAAAAGAGAAATAAAGAAAACTGATAGGCAGTTATACTGACTTACAATTGTTCTGTTTGCTTTTTTAAAAAAGTGACATGAAACACAAGTAAAAATAAATACGTCATAGAAACAGCCAGTTGCCCGGTCTGTGGGGCAGGAGCGCCTGCCCTGCTGAGAGCGGAGGGAAGCCCATGGTCACACCAGCAGCTGGGCCACCCAGCCACAGATGCTCCTCAAAGCCAGGCGCAGGTCCCAGGCCTCAGGGGCGTCCTGAGGAAATAAGACGGAAAACCAAAGCCAGGTGCCAGGTCCCTGGGGCCACCTCATCTCTCCCCATTCCCCCTGGCAGCAGTGTGGGCTTAGTGGTTATCCATTATGACCCCCTCAACCCACCTGGACCCTCACCCCCAACTCCTCAAGAGGGTACAAGGAAAAACCTGTCTTGGGCAGACTGGGGGAGGATTCTTCTGGTAAGCCCCCAGCCCACCCTGAGTAACACAACCAGATAAGTCATTTTACACACACACAGTCTCTCTCTCTCTCTCACTCACACACACACACAAACACACACACACATACACAGCTGGGCTAGGCTTTCTTCCAGGGAGGATCCTGGGTCAGGTCACAGTAAGAGGTCCCCGCTCTTGTAAATATCATCCCAGTAGTGGTAGCAGAGAGTACCCAAACCTTCCCCCAGTCCTCTGCATCCCAGACCCTGCAGCCTGCCTGGCTATCTGCCCCCAACACAATGGATTACTATTATCTCAGAGACCCGCGAGAAGGGAACACAGCAGACTCAGGTCCCTGAAGTGGAAAGAAGTTCGATACTGCCTGCTCAGGAAGTTCATCGCTGTAAGACTCGGGTAGTCATGAAAGGCCTAGGGCCAGGCGTGTGGCACAGGACAGACATGAACCGGTCACGGTGGAATACACGGGGCAAGAGGGAAGAGCAGGTAGGGAGGGAAGTCTGAAGGTGGCCCACGGAGAGCACAGCATTCTCAGAGACGTTGAGGTGCTGACTTCCTGGGGGAGGTTTAGTAGGTTTAGTAGGGGAAGAGCCACTTAGCTGTGGGCACAAAGGCCATGGCTCAGAAGAGAGAGACTGTTCCGGAAAATCAAAGGGAAATAGGAGGCAGGAGGTCCTATCCAGGAACACCACAAACAAGGAATGTAAATTCCCAGAAGACCTTTCCCATGGCTGAGGACTCAATTCCAGAGCAATGACAGGCTTGGAGGGGCTGTCACAGAGGGCCCTGCTTGGCTGACAGCTTCAGGATGACTTTCCTGCCCAGACTGCTAAAGCTTAGTTCTTTCAGCCAATCAGCAAACGTGTACCCCAGCTCTTTGTTTTATGCTTCCAGAATGGGAAATTTCATATTTAGTTGTGAGTCACAAATAGATAGACTCTACACACTAATTCCTAGGGAAGGGATTTCCAAGGACGTGACAGAGTCAGGAGATGATGAGATAGGTGCTTGAGAAGCACAATTCAAAGGGGTGAGGACTTTGCAGAGAGCCGATTTTAAGTAAAAGATCTGACCCAACATGGGTCACTTACTTTTTTATCAAATAGCTACTTCATCCCAGGTCAATTTTTATCCACAAGATATGGTGAAAAGAAAATCAAGCATCACTACAAATGCTAATCCTGAATTATTATGTATATGGTGCTTCCCAAGCTAAGAGCTTGGGCCAACCCAGAAGGATAGGCCTTGGAAGGCCTTTAACAACATTCGACGGAAGATGCAGTGAAGGAAAATGCCAGACCTGATCTGCCTTCCCTCTAATCACCAGCCTTCCTTCACTCAGGACTCGATGGGAACACCACCTAATGTCAAAGTGTCGAACAGGGTTCTTAGGCTCTGAGACCTTTCTTGATTCCCTCAAACACATACAAATGCTTGGTAAGCATGCACCTGTGCCTACCAGCACACTTGGAGACAGCAGAAAAGTCAGTTTCTTTTCAGGTTCACATCTTCAAAAAACAAAAAGCAAAACCCACAAGTGGGAGCAGTCCAATTTCCCATGACCCCATTCCAAACTCTCTATGGAACAGAAGCTCCACATATCAGAGAAAGCCTTATGTAGCCAGGCCAGGCTCCCAGAATTACAGCTTCTGCTGAGCTGAAGTTAGACTCAGCCCCTGGGACTAGTGGGTGGCGAGCAGGCATGTGCTGCCCCTCTGAACACCCATTCATTTTTCCTTGCCACTTCTAAAGCCCTTCCTTCCAGGAACTGGTTTCTGGACTCTGAGAGACTGCTGCAGTGTATCTTAGAAGTGAACAAATAAATACTCCTTTTCTCCCAAAAACAACAACAACACGCGCACACGCGCACACACACACACACACACACACACTGGAATCTCAATGCCCCAGCACCTGAGAGGCCTCAGTGTAAGCCAGGTTCTGTGTGTGCTGTGCTAGTTCACTCCTACTGCACCAATCTCAACCTGAGTGCCTACTCCAACTGAGTCCCTTCACCACCCATTCTTGGGAAGCATCTGAAAGAGAAAGCACTGGTTGGAACTGCTATTTTTAAATTATTAAAATAATTTGCATAGCTAAATTGTAGATCTAAGGCTTCTATGAGTAGCAGAGTTAAGTGTCTGACAGAGTGCTTATGAAAACAAAGAAAGCTCCTAAGTTCCATTTTAGGTGTCTGGGACAGCACAGAAATACGCATGAACACACATACCCCATCAACACTTCCTGTCTGTTCTCTGGGGACAGTCCCCCGAAGTCTTTAAGGCCCAGAGGAAATGGGCTGGTCATGAGAGTTGCAGGACTACTATCGAGATGACCTGGCTAATCTGCCTTCGGCAGCTGCCCAGTTAGGAAGGAGCCATGGGCAGGTGGGAAAGCTCTAAAGGCGGACAAGGTTTGTTTGTCATAAAGAACTGTCTGGCAGTCTTGGGGGTGGAGGCACACAGACACACCAACATGAAGACAGCCAGTGTTTATGCTGAAGCACTAGATGCCCCTCCCTCGGCACTGGGAAGAAGAAAGGAGGAACTCAGAATGACTGATGTGCTCTTTTAAGATAACAGCCAGACCTAGGGCTCCTACTGAGGCAGGGCTCCTCTGTGTTCCCTCCAAGATGGAAACAGGAGATACCACATCCATCACCTGACTGGCTGGGAAAGCCAAGACCTTTCCTACAAGGACAACGATAGTCTGTTCCCTCAGGCCAGCAGCTTCCTATCCATGGCTTCACCTTTCAAGGTGGAGAGACAGCCTCTAAGGTCATCCCAGGAGGACACAGCTCCACATCAACTTCCCAGTAACAAACCTCATGATCCTAAGTTTCAGTTTCTGCTAAATAAGTCTCCCCGCTCACTATCCAGTCTCAGGATTCCCTGATCTTCCTGAGGGGCCACTTCCTAAAAGCAGCTGTTTAATCAAAACCGTGGTCAAGCCTAAGTCTTCTTCCCTGGTCAGTTCACCATCCACCCAAGACTCTTTTCACCAGCAGCTACGGAGTCTGGGATATCTGGAAACTCCCCTCCCTTTCTATCTCCTACTCTCCTTACCCCTATCCACCCTGTCCCCCCCCCCCCAAAAAAAAAAAGACACATGAAAAGTCCAAACAATAAATAATTGCCCATAAGAAATAAATTAACATGGAGCTCTCTAGCAGGGAAGGGAAGAAGAAAAAGGCCAGCAGGGCAGGCTGCAAGGGGCTCGGTCAGTCTCTTCCAGCCACAACGCCACCAGCTCTCACTCATCCACGGCCGTGCTTTTCCTTCCCACACAGCCGCCCAGCTGGGAAGGGAGCCCTGCTCAGAGGCAGCCACTGGGGAAAAGAAGAGATTAGTAATGCCCATTTTCTCTCATGATTTCCCCCAAATTCTAAAACAGACATGGTTTTGAAGACCAGTGACTTCAGTTAGCTAGGCCTTCTCTTCACCCAGCTTAGAAGGAAACTTGTGATTTCCATGGCTGTACTCCCAGGCTCACCCTGATGTTTACATTAATAGTGGCCAACACACTCTGGTTTGCATTATAAAAAAAAGATAAATTCATTTTTAGTTTCCCCCTTGGTTCCTCCCTCCCTCCCCTCCCATCTTCACCCCTGCTCTGTTGCACACATGTACATACATACATAAACATACACACACACTCAGAAACACACATACCTGGTCTGCTTCCTTCCCACCCCCTAAAATGACCCCATGACCCACGGGATCTCAGTCTGCTCCCCTTGCCCACCCTCCTTCTCTCTCTCACTCACCCTCCCTCCCTCCCCTCCCCTTCCTAGGCCAAGCTAAGTTACCCAGTAAGGCAGCTTTCTTGGGAGAGAATGTTCCCAAAGACAGAAATGGGATGCGAGCTTCTAACTCGGGCGGGCGGGCGGGCAAGCAAGCAGACAGCATAAGCAAGGCAGGAAGGAGGAGAGAGGCAGGTGGCCACGCCCCTCTAATCCCTGTCTGTTTTGGGTCCCTGAATTCTCCCTATTGCTGCTCTGTTGGATATTATTATTATTATTTTGCCTCTTTTGTTAAACAGCAACAGAGCCCTAACACCATGACCAATCACCCTTCTTTGAATTTGTCCTTTTCCGTCCTGCCAAGTGCCCTATTCTCACAAAGCCCAGATCACTGCCTTCCTGTTTGTGGGGCAACCTGCTGGGGGCCTTGAGTGAGGTGGGGAGGGACTCCCCAGCTATTTCCCAGTGACCTCTATCACATCATCGTCCTTATCCTCATCATCATTGGAGCTGAAGCCCACCTCGGCGACCTCGTGAGAGTCAAACGGAGGCACCTGGGACCGGAGGAGGCCACCAGCTGGGTAGCCTGCATGTGGGGACACATAGCCTGGGTAGACAGACATGCCCCGCGAAAGGTTGCTGGGCAAGACAGGGGAAGGAAAAGGCGCAAACATCCTTGGCTCGGACAGGAGTGGCTGCGAGAATGGGAGTGAATAGCTGGGTAGTATCCCTGGCACAGAGGGGTTGAGCATGAAAGAGGGGTTGCTGGCAGTGACTGAGGTAGCCGTGGAAGAGGAACTGACGGGGCCTGCTGGCACCAGAGGGTCAGTAGTCACTGGAAATACCAGGCGGGCATCTGCCAGCAAATTGGACAGCTGGTAGTAGGAGGGGGTACTACCCATAAACAGGGAGTTCTCCCCAGCCTGGGAGGTGAAGGGGGGGGTGAGGTTATGGTTTAAGGAGACGGGTGGCATGGCAAACCCGCCAGAGACTGGATACCCGTGTTCATACGGCTGCACGGGGGCTGGCAGATGGCCCTTCCTGGACCGCCGACGGGTTGACTCCTGGGCGGCAGGTGGAGTGGCCAACTTTCGCTTGTGGCCCCTTAAGTCCAGCACTGGGTGCCTGCCACCAATGGGCTGGCCAGTCACCAAGAGGGAACTATTGAGGCAATGACCCCCAAGTCGAGGCTCAGTCCCAAGAGCTGTCCCAGGAACAGCACTGCTGTCCACGAGTTGGGCCGGAGGGCCAGGCAGGGCGGCATTGGTGCTTGGGGAGCTCTGACGGGATTCCCGGGCAGCAGCTGCATCTGCGTACTGCTGGAGCTCACTGATGATCTCCGGGCTGTCAGGAGAGACGGGCCTGGCCAGCCCCTCAGGATCAGGGGCTTTGGGTGATGAGGCACTGTGTCTGCCGTTGCTTGTGGATTCTTGAGAAGGCCCCTGGGAACCTGGAGACAAAAGGCAGGTAAATGAGAATCAGAATAAGGGAAAGAAGAGAGGTAGAAGGGAATTCTACCTAAGAAAGCCTATCCTGCATTCCCTGCATTCTAATGGTTTGATGCCCAAACAATACTGTTCAGTCAATCTGACCCAATCACACAGAAAGGAATCCTCTGATCCTAGAAACCATGCAACATCGCTGTACCCCAGCTTCCCCAATCTAAATTTCTACTAAGATTGAAAGAATGGATATGAAGCACTAAGAGACCATTCTTTTATTTATTTTTTTAAAGACTGTATTTCTTTATTTGAGAGGTAGAGTTACAGATAGAGAGAGGGAAAGATGGAGAGAAAAGTCTTTCATTCCACTGGTTTACCCCTTAAAAAACCACAACGGTTGGAGCTATGCTGATCTGAAGCTAGGTGCCAGGAGTTTCTTCTGGGTCTCCCATGCAGGTGCAGGGGCCCAAGAAATTGGGCCAGCTTCCGCTGCTTTCCTGGGTCATAGTAGAGATGGATCGGAAGAGGAGCAGCTGAGACACAAACTGGTGCCCACATGGGACGCCAGCACTGCAGGTGGAGGCTTAGCCTACTATGTACACTACAGCGACAGCTTCTAAGATACCATTCTTAAAACTTTTCAGAGTGGGGACTGGCACTGTGGCACAGTGGGTAAAGCCGTAGCCTGCAGTGCCAGCATCCCATTTGGGCACCAGTTTGAGTCTTGGCTGCTCCACTTCCGATCCAACTCTCTGCTGTGGCCTGGGAAAGCAGCAGAAGATGGCCCAAGTCCATGGGCCACTGCACCCATGTGGGAGACCTTGAAGAAGTTCTGAGATCCTGGCTTTGGAATGGCACAGCTCCGGCTGTTGTGGCCATCTGGGGAGTGAACCAGTGGGTGGAAGACTTTCTCTCTCTCTCTCTCTCTGCCTTTCAAATAAATAAATAAATCTTAAAGAAAAAAAAAGAAACATTAAGGTTAACTATTAAAAAAAAAACCTTTTCAGCATTTTTCTGGGGCAGGAGACAGTGACTGGGGTGGGGAAGGACCATGGTGATGGAAGAGGAACAGGAAGTTAAAAGGCAGACCATCTGATTTAAAAATAAAACAAAATCCACAGCTGAGAAAGACAGCTGGGATTAACTAAGAAATGTGAAGTATAGCCTGGATACTAGGTAATATTCTGGAATTATTAACTTGTTTAAAAAACGTGATAATGGGAGTGGGTGTTGCAGCACAGTGAGTTAAGCCCACACCCTCCATCAGAGTGCCTGGGATTGAGTCCTGCCTCCATTTCTGATCCAGTTTCCTGCTAATGCACCTGGGAGGCCACAGATGAATGGCTCAAGCTTTGGGTCTTTGCCACACCCTCGTGGTAGACCTGGATAGAGTTTCTGGCTCCTGGCTTTGGCTTGGCCCAGTCTTACCTACTGAGAGCTCTTGGAGAGTGAAGCTGTGAATGGAAACATGTGTTCTCTCTCAGCCTTTCAAATACATAAATCTCTTAAAAAATGAAAAATAAAACATGTGATAATGATGCCATAGCTGAAAGGAGAATGTTCTTAGGAGATGTGTGGTGCAATACTTATGGATAAATGACATGATGCCCTCAAGTTACAATGGCTCAGATAATAGAAAGGGAAGGAAAAACAGAAGAGTTACAAAAATGAACAATCATTGGATACACATGCAGGGTTTTTTTTTTTTTTTTAAGATTATTTATTTATTTATTAGAAAGGTAGAGTTACAGACAGTGAGAGAGGGAGAGACAGAGAGAGAGGTCTTCCATCCGCTGGTTCACTCCTCAAATGGCCACAAAAGATAGAGCTGTGCTGATCCAAAGCCAGGAGCCAGGTGCTTCTTCCTGGTCTCCCACATAGGTGCAGGGGCCCAAGCACTTGGCCATCTTCTACTGCTTTCCCAGGCCACAGCAGAGAGCTGGATTGGAAGAGGAGCAGCCAGGACTAGAGCCGGCGTCCATATGGGATGCCAGCGCTGCAGGCGGAGGATTAACCTACTGTGCCATTTATTATATTTATTTGAAATACAGAGTTACAGAGAGAGGTAGAGCCAGAGAGAGAGGTCTTCCATCTACTGGTTCACTTCCCAAATGACCACAATGGCCAGAGCTGAGCTGATCTGAAGCCAGGAGCCAGGAGCTTCCTCCAGGTCTCCCATATCGCTACAGGAGCCCAAGGACTTGGGGCATCTTCTACTGCTTTCCCAGGCCATAGCAGAGAGTTGGATAGGAAGAAGAAGAGCCAGGACTCAAACTGGTGCCCGTATGAGATGCCGGCACTGCAGGCTGGGGCTTTAACCCACTGCGCCACAACGCCAGCCCCTATATGCAGGGTATATGGGTGTTTGTGTACTGTTCTTCCAACTTGTCTGTATAAAAGTTTCCAGAACACAAAGCTGAGTACAAGAGCAGTGCAGCTTTCACACCCCAGCAGGAGAATAAATGAGAACCACCTTGACTGAGAGGAATCTGGCAAAAGTTAGCAACATCCTTAATGTGCCATACACATACCTGTGACCCAGCCACCCAACCCATAGGAATGTATTCTACAAATATACCCACCCATCTGTGAAACAGCAGTGTCAGAGTGGTGCAGTAAGAGGTAAATGCACACTCATGGGAAGTGAGGTAACTCATTATGCTTATACCTCATTCTGTGTAAACCTTCAATGGGACATATTTAGAAGGAAAGCTGTGGAGTGAGCTATGACTACTAAATGAAAAAAAAAAGGTAAACAATATATTATAGGATGTCAGGATTTATTTTAAAAATACAAAGTGGTGTGTGCACGTACTGTTTATATGAACATACTCAATGTGTATGCATACACACAGACACTTGATCCTATGCTCTGTATAGAATATCTCTAAAACAAACAAAAATGAAAGGGGCAGCCCCAAGGAGAAGCAATGGATGGCTGGGGTCATGGTGGGAGAAAAACTTACTTTTTACTTTAATCCCTTTTTGTACCTTTTGAATTGTGAACAATATATATATATATATATATTGTCCTTAAAAATAAAATAGGCTGATTTTAAACCAAATGCAAAGAATATTGTGTAGGTCAATGGAAAGTAAAAGGCATGGTACCTGCAGCAGCCATCCGACCATCTTCAGGGGCCTTTGGCTTACCAGTCGCCCGGACGGCAAAGATTCGCCCATCACTGGTACGGATGTACGTCCCTAAGAAACACAAGGAAGACTGTTAAGCAGATATGTGATAGCCAACCCTGGGAAATGAGGCATCATGGAGTGGGACTAGCTATAAAATTAACTATATTTTCTTCTCAAGATCCTTGAAATAAGGAGTAGAGTAGCTAGAAAGTTAGTGACCCCTAATATCCTCATCTATTCCACAAGCACTGAGGCAGGCCTACCATGTACCAGGCACTGTTCTAGACACTAAGGTATCGGGGAGTGTAGGACAGAAAAGCAATCCTGTCTCATGAAGCTTAACCTCTAGTGGGAAATCTAAGATTAATTACCCCAGAAAATATTTGGAAAGGTGAAAGGTAATAGAGGGAATAAATAGGGCACTGTGAGAGAAAACAAGTTGATAACCTATGTTCCCAGGTTCTGCCCAGGCCTTCTTCTTCCTCTTAGAGAAAAGTGCCTTGTTGCCTCAGCACACTCTCCCCTGAGAAGAATAATTTAAGACCTGCAATCTATTCCCACAGGGCACCACTCTACCTTCTCAGCCTTAGGAATGTCATTTGATCAGTCTCCTGGAATGTCAAGCTGTCTCTTGGCCAGGAGCTGACAAACTTTCTTAAAAGGCAAAACAGATTTTTGGCTTCATAAGCTTCAAGGTCTCTGTTCCAACTACCCAAGCTCTGTGCTGTAACACGAAAACAGCTGGGCGTGGCTATGTTCCAACAACATTTGAGTTATGGACATTGAGAGGTAAATGTCATATAATGTTCACATGTCACAAAATATTGCTCTTTAGGTTTTTCTTCAGCCAACTGAAACTGCAAAACCCATCCTTAGCTTGCAGATATAGTAACAGGCAGCAGGCTGGATACGGTCCTGGCTCATCCTTCGCCAACCCCTATTCTAGGCTAGAAGAACCCAGTAGGAATACTGAGTACACTTATCTCAATGTGTCCATGTATTTCATAGTACCTTCCCATAAGCCTAAAGGTACTCAAACCCAGGAGAGGTTAGGGTGAAATCTCCCTACTGAACGAAAAACCTTCATGGTGCCCCACACAGTGATGGGCCTTAGTTTAAGGCTAGTATGAATGATAGGCTCAGATTCCATTTTGACAGTTTATCCTAGATTCTTCATCCCAGCCCTCTAGTCTCCCTCTATAAGGAGAACAAAGGCAGAGGCAGACTTTTAAACTCTATCACACAACCTACGTATACTAATCCATCCACAGAATATACTTCTTAGGGACAACCACCTGCTCCAAGCAAGTAGGTACAGATAACACAATAGCACATGTGAGTTTGAATCTCATTCTCCAATTCTTTCCCTCCAGTTTTGATCTCCCTGTGTTCAGTCATTCCCATCCTAAGATTCAACACAGAAATGACAGCAAAATACAAGAAAACAAGGACTCTACTTTCCCTCTTTCAAGGGATACATTGACCAATATCCCAGGGGCTCAAACCAACTCTGCTAAGTTCCCAGAAATGCCATTTTCTCTTGTTTCCCTGAAATGTGACGTTCTTATGAGATGAGCCTCTCCCAGCTAAAGCTATATGGATTTATTCTGTTTCCCAGCCCAACACTTTCAACTAAGGCAGAGCATGGGTCCCAGTCATGTGCTCACCTTTTGTCCCACGGATGATGTGAATGCTCTCACCAGCATTAATTCTTGCCTGAACATCTGTGGAGCTGTTGAGCCCAGGAATAACAATATCTAGTGAAAAACAGATTTCAAATCTAGATTACACAGGTCCCAACTGAAGGAAGCAAAGAAAAAGCGAAGTCCCATATCCACTCCTGTTCCTCTTGGACTTCCCTAAAGCCTCTTAGTGAAGCAGAGGATCAGAGAAGGCAAAGGAATCAGGATGACTCACAACTGTCTTCACAGAGGATACTGCGAAGATGAGAAATTATTTAGAAATCTGATCATCTCTCCATCAACTTCCCTTGATTTCATGAAAAATTCCAAGAGTTTTCAATTGGAAAACGTTTTAGATCAAATGGTTATGATGGTATGTTTTCCCTCCTCCCTAAACTATAGCATGTATCTATCCCACATCATTTTAGGCTCCAACAGTGGCCTCCTCCTCTTCCTTACTGGCATTACCCCACTGCTGGGGAAGGGTATTTTCAAGAGTCAGCAGAGTGCTAAAGTACACTGTTCAACAAGCAACTGCCCTATGTAGAACTATACAAATATTATATGTTGGGGCTGGCACTGGGGCGCAGCGGGTTAACGCCCTGGCCTGTAGCTCCGGCATCCCATATGGGTACCAGTTCAAGACCTGGCTGCTCCACTTCCGATCCAGCCCTCTGCTGTGGCCTGCGAAAGCAGAAGAAGATGGCCCAAGTGCTTGGGCCCCTGCACCTACGTGGGAGACCTGGAAGAAGCTCCTGGCTCCTGGCTTTGGATCGGCACAGCTCCGGCGGTTGCAGCCAACTGGGGAGTATCAGCGGATGGAAGACCTCCCTCTCTCTCTCTCTCTCTGCCTCTCCTCTGTGTAACTCTGACTTTCAAATAAGTAAATAAATCTTAAAAAAAAAATTATATGTTACACAAAAATTTTAAATAAAAATGTACAAGTATTACATGTTAATCAAATATTTTAAATAATTTTTATATTTATTTATTTATGTATTTAGAGAGGTAGAGTTACAGGCAGAGAGGTAAAGACAGAAGGAGGGGTCTTCTATCTGCTGGTTCACTCCCCAAATGCCCATAGCAGCTGGGGCTCAATCAGGCCAAAGCTAGGAGGCAGGAATTCTATCCAGGTCTCCCATGTGGGTGGCAGGGACCCAAGTATTAAAGCCATCACCTGCTGCCTTCCTAGGCACATTAGTAGGAAGTTGGATTGGAAGTGAGGTAAACTAGGACTCAAATCAGCACTCTGATATGGGATGTAAGCATCCCAGGCAGTGACTTAATGTGCCATAATATCCATCCTTCATTTCAAATTTTTTACAATGAATGGGCATTATATTCATTCTCAAAAAAGTAAAAATATTTTCATTAAAATGTATATATTTGAGCATTTCTAATAAAAAGATGGAAAACAGGATCACAAAATGCTTTCCTTCCCCATCACCCGGATTCACAGAATGAAATTCATGGGAAGATGGGCTACCCATCTCCCACCACCACTCACTGGCTCACCATCCTCATCTTTATCAAACTCAAAAAGAAAGATGCAGGCCGGCGCCGCGGCTCAATAGGCTAATCCTCCGCCTAGTGGCGCCGGCACACCGGGTTCTAGTCCCGGTCGGGGCGCCGGATTCTGTCCCAGTTGCCCCTCTTCCAGGCCAGCCCTCTGCTGTGGCCAGGGAGTGCAGTGGAGGATGGCCCAGGTGCTTGGGCCCTGCACCCCATGGGAGACCAGGAAAAGCACCTGGATCCTGGCTCCCGCCATCGGATTAAAGCGGTGCGCCGGCCGCGGCGGCCATTGGAGGGTGAACCAACGGCAAAGGAAGACCTTTCTCTCTGTCTCTCTCTCTCACTGTCCACTCTGCCTGTCAAAAAAAAAAAAAAAAAAAAAAAAAAGAAAGATGCAGGTGACAATTCAGGTCTTCCAATTACATGGTGAGCGTGACTGCTGTCCTGACACCCCCCACAGTCAAGCAGGACTCAGCACATTTGAACTTCTGAACCAACATTTGTTCCAGGGACCTTTCCAGAATCCCTGCAGTGGTCAAACGTAAAAATTCAGTTCTATGTAATACTTAAGATATTTCACCAGAACACAAACTCCTCAAGATCTGGGACTGCTGTCTTCTCTATTTTTACCTACAGTGCAAAGCATTGTAAGGCCAAGAACACAAACGATGTTTAATAAATACTTCTCGAATGAACAAAGCAATTTAACATGGGGCAGCACTCTGGCACAGAATCCAGGAGTTCCTCACCCGTTGTGGTGACCACCTTCTGCACAAGGACTCCCGCACGCTGCAAGTAGTTGATCGGGAAGTTCATGGATGGATTTGTGCTGGAGGCAGAGCTTACGCTGCTTCCCAGTGGGACATGCCGGGGCATCATTGGGATGGGAGTGGACTGGACAGGACGAACACTGGCCACAGGCTTTTCATCACCTTTCAGTGTTGGCTGCCTATGAGAGAAAGAAAAACACACTAAGAGTGAAGCAGAAAGGCTGAAGGGCCTCTCCAAACTGTACCATTCTAAGCCCTCAGTGGCCACTGGAAGAAAAATCAGAAGAACCTGCAGAGTCTGGTCAATTTAAAAGAACCTGAGGTAGGACTGAGACAGAGAGGCAGAAAAAGACAGAGGGATTAAGCCTCCTGGAGTCTAGTAGTACTAGACATTAGTGGAATGATACCTTTCTGGGGATGTGTGGCAGCATCTGCTTCTCTAGAATTTGGAAGAGGGAAAATCAGGGTGATGCAAAGATGCAGTAAGGGGGGAATTTTCTTCAGGCCACAGTGGAATATTTTCATCAAGTTCCTCCAGGCTTCTGTTTGGGCTACTCAAGGGTGTCCCTCTACTCAGAACCACCACAAAAGTAGCAGCAGTCATAGCACTGTATATAACAGCCAGGTTTCCAAATGGCACAGTGCCACAACCTGCCTGAGCACTGACTGAGTGTTTCTAATTACCAACATGCTAAAATGTTACCCCATAGCCAATGATGTTCACCTTCCTTTCAACCAGATATTGGTGCTTTGAGAAAGTTACTCCTGATTCAAGTTTTCCTTTTTATCACTGTCTAGGCATTACAAATAAACTCCACATATGCATACACAAAAGAATCACTGTAAGTTTTCTGAAGTCTGTACCTTTGACCTCTGTGCCTAGAAAAGAGACTACCTTAACTGGAATGGTCTTCCCCAACCATCCGAGTGAAGGTTGCATACGGGCCGGCACTGTGGCTCACTAGGCTAACTTGCGGAGCTGGCACACCAGGTTCTAGTGCCGGTCGGGGCACTGGATTCTGTTCCGGTTGCCCCTCTTCCAGGCCAGCTCTCTGCTGTGGCCAGGGAGTGCAGTGGAGGATGGCCCAAGTGCTTGGGCCCTGTACCCTATGGGAGACCAGAATAAGCACTTGACTCCTGCCATTGGATCAGGGCGGTGCGCCAGCCGCTGGAGGGTGAACCAACAGCAAAAGGAAGACCTTTCTCTCTCTCACTGTCCACTCTGCCTGTCAAAAAAAAAAAAAAAAAAAAAAAAAAAGGTTGCACACGGAAGACCACTTTCACTCCACTCTACTATTGCAGTTGGTCCTCACGTCTCCTCAGTCACATTGCTCTCAGTTGTAGGTCTTTCTGGCCTTTCCACTTGCAAACTCCAGGTTCCCAGGTAAGTCATATATCACAGGTCTGGTGCCCATTTCCTCACTGTCTTCCCAGGGTGGCTAGGAGTTAGAAATCTTGATCAGTTGTCAGTGAGATTCCTCACAGAATCAAGAGTCAGAAGGGAAATAGGAACAACTCAGCCCAAGCCTTATACTAGGCAGGGGCTTGGGCTAAGAATGTGGGCAGGATGGCTGCTCACAAGTACCCAGACAGGATAAAGAACCAGCAGGACTGTGGTACAGCTCATCAGATGCTGTGAGAAGCTGATGACTCCACAGCGTCAGAGCTGGGACAGAGACACAGCTGACATCCCACAGCCCAGTCTGGACCATTTATCACATCTTCCTCCAACACAGCTTTTCTCTTTTTCTCTTAGGATACTCTGGCTGTTACACACAAAAAAAAGACCAAACGAGAAAAAAAGGAATGGGAATAAGAGCAGACACTCCCAGACAATAATTTCTTAGAAAATGACACAGACGTGAAAAGTCTACAGACTTTGAAAAGGAGTAACTTTCTATTTGAGAGTATCTTCAATTTACTATATAAAAATCTACAAATCCACTCACACAAAATCAGTGTCTTATGTAAAATCTTACATGGTTTCATTTCTTTTAGAATCTTACTTGGCAAGTTTTTTTTCTACATTAAAATCTTAAGAAAAAAGTATTAAATCTGTTCCCCTGCTCCCCAGGACAGGTGATACCCCCCAGGGGTCCACCAGGGGTCTCTTGAGTCACAAGGCCAGCAGCTCACTCTTCCAGCCAGAACAGTCACGATCCGAGTCATTTAAAACCCGGGAACTGCTCTGGTACCTACAACAGAACAGCAGTTGAAGGAGCTCGCTCTGCTTAGAAAAGGAACCAGATGAAAGGTGTCTGGGCCTGGCCCAGCAGCAGATCCTGCCTTTTGAGTGACTCACCAGTTTCTCTGACTGAAGGCAGGGATGCTGGTCAGGCTCTGGTCGCTGGCAGGATAATACTGAGCATACGACGGGCGGGTGTAGGGGACTGATGTGCGTTTGTCTTCCTCATAGCTTTTCTTTGCTGCTTTTTTCTCAGCTTTGGTCAGCTTGTGATCCTTTCGGTTGAGGAGCAATGACTCATGCTCGAAAGGCTCCTGGGGACACAGAGGGTGTTGATTTAATTAGCAGTCTTTGTGCCAGCATGACTGATGCACAAATCTTATTTTGAAGCCAAGACCAGTAATGTGCAGGACCAGTGAGAGCCTGCTCAGACATGGAGGCAGTTATTGGCCTTCTGTCAAGAGCATGACTCATAACTCTAACCTTGTACCAGCTGTAGACCCTTGAGCCTGCCTTCCATATCGAAAGGAAGGGGGATTCCAGAGAATGAGCAACCACATTTCAGAACTTTTCTTCTGCTAGGAAATCTCACACTGACCGAACTGTTGCACATGGCTGAGCTCAGCATCCTGGGACAGGGACTAGAGGTAAGGTTAGGCAGCTGGAGGCAGGAAGGGGAGCAATGCGGGGGGCGGGGGACGGACACTTGTGTCTAAGCTGTCTGCATAAATAAGGCTCCAGGTGAAGGAAGCAAGCTTGCCAGACAAGGCACCGACAGAGGATGCCATGCCAGGGACTGCACACATAACACGTTCTTACCTTGGTGATAAGGTGAGGGTACTTCAGACAGGCAAGCTGCAGGACTGACTCTTTAATCCCCTTCACATTCAAGGATGTTTGGGGAGCTGGCTCCTTCTCAACGAAGTGCAGTAGATTCTCCACTTCCTTCCGGGTGAAGTTCAGCATCGGATTTAGATCATCCACCACCCGATCTAGAAGGGAGAAGACAAGGAGAAAGTCAGCAAATGGCAAGGAAGATTGGAAATACACAACTACCAAGGTTAGCATGGGAGGTTGTGAATGTCAGAACTGTCACTAATAACAATCATCATCCTATATCTGCAAATCAAAGGCCCTGGTGAAATAGAAACATCACCTAAGAGAAATATGCATAACTAGCTTGGCTCTAATTATCAAACCCACCTTCAACAAATTGAGGTTAATCTCTTCAAGCAATAAGCAGAATAAGATGGGAGGAACTGCTAGATTCCCATGATTCAAAGCCTGTCTGTGTTCCCACATCCTGCCCCTCCTCTCCCATCTTTGATATTGTAAGAAGAGTGGCCTTTATGATGTGCCTCCCCTGAGCCTGGAAGATGGCCCACCTGACATGCCCTGCTTGGAAATCTGACGATCATAGATCTTCTTTTCAAGGGTGTAATCGGCCACAAGGCGATAGATGTGACAGGGCTTTTTCTGGCCATATCGGTATACCCGACATACTGCCTGGGCATCATGGCAAGGGTTCCAGGAAGCATCGAACACCACCACTCGGTTGGCACCAATCAGATTCACACCCAAGCATCCAGCCCTTTAAAACATAAGTCAACAGTTACAAAGAGATGTTTTCAAATCCATTTTGCCCTCTGTAACTCCTACCCCAGTATCATTCTCTTTCCTCTAAGCACAACATATTTGAGGATTTTGTTGTCCTGTCAGGCACAGGAAAGTATGTCTTGAAATTAAAATGGAAGTGCCTACAGCTCAGAAGGAAAATTGACTCTTCAACTCTCTGCAAAAAGTAAGGCCTCTGGGTGATGTCCTTGGAAGGGGGAACTTTTGCACACAGGTTTCTCAGTGTTTTTAGTCTACCAGCTTAGGAAAACAATGGGCTCATACCCTGAGAAGGGCTTTCTGAGAGCAGAGGCAGTACAGTCTTCAAGCTGCTTGTCAAGAGACGACGCCATCAGCCCTTAAGAGTTACAGTGATAGTGCTTTCTCTGCTTGTTAAAGCACTTCCACATCTGTCAAATCATCTAAGCCTCACAACACTCCTTGAGAAAAGCTAACCACAACCACTTAACAAAGATCTCAAAGAAGTTTATGACACTATCAGGACTCCCTCCTTTTTTTTTTAAAGACTTTTATTTATTTCTCTGAGAGAGTTACATAGAGAGAGGAGGAGAGGCAGACAGAGAGAGAAGTTTTCCATCCACTGGTTCACCCTCGAATTGGCTGCAATGGCTGGAGCTGTGCTGATCCGAAGCCAGGAGCCAGGAGCTTCCTCCAGGTCTCCCACATGGGTGCAGGGGCCCAAGGACTTGGGTCATATTCTATGCTTTCCCACACCATAGCAGAGAGCTGGATTAGAAATGGAGCAGCCAGGTCTTGAACCAGAGCCCACATGGGATGCTGGCACTGCAGGCAGTGGCTTTAACCACTATGCCACAGCACTGGCCCCAGGACTGCCTTCTAATACAGCTTCTTTTTGGGATTCCCTCTCTGACCTCAAAGACAAATTACAGACCTAAGCAGACTCTTTTGACAGAACCTGGATGAGTTTTGAGGTACTTCCCAGGGGCCAATTGCCCAGACACACTCCTCTGACCTCTCTTCTCAGGTTTCACTCACCGTGTGGAGAGAAGGAAGAGCCAGGTGGTAAGGTTGCTAGGATCATTGAACTGATTAATGAGCCGCTCTCTCTCAAAGGCAGGGGTGCTACCATCCAGCCCTAGGAAGAAAGGAAAACCACAAGAAGTGAGGGCACAATCACTTGGCAAATGTATTGTTTTTAAACATTTAATTATTTATTTGAGAGGCAGAAAAGAGGAGAGAGCTCCCATCTGCTGGTTTATTACCCAAATGTCCCCAACAGCCAGGACTGGGCTGGGCTGAAGCTGGGAGGCAGGGAACTCAATCCAGGTCTCCCAGATGGGTGGCAGGGACCCAATTATTTGAGTCATTACCACTGCCTCCTTGAATCATTGTTAGCTGGGGGCCTCTTAACTGCTAGATTAAACATCAGCCTCATTTTTTGAAAAGAAAAAAAAAAGAAAAGAAAAAATTTAATTCAGAGGCAGAGAGACAGATGGAGGGGCAGAGAAGTTTGTTTTTTTTTTTTTAATTTTCAGTTTATTTATTTGAAAAGCAGAGTTACAGGGGAATGGGGGTGAGGGGAAGGAGGAGAAAATGAATGAATCTTTCATCTGCTAGTTCACTTTTCAAATGCCTGCGATGGCTGGGGCTAGGCCAGGCCAAAACCAGGAGCCTCTTTAAAGGTCTCACATGGGCCGGCGCCGCGGCTCAATAGGCTAATCCTCTGCCTTGTGGCGCAGGCACACCGGGTTCTAGTCCTGGTCGGGGCACCGGATTCTGTCCCGGTTGCTCCTCTTCCAGGCCAGCTCTCTGCTGTGGTCAGGGAGTGCAGTGGAGGATGGCCCAAGTACTTGGGCCCTGCACCCCATGGGAGACCAGGAGAAGCACCTGGCTCCTGCCTTCGGATCAGTGTGGTGCGCCGGCCGTGGCGGCCATTGAAGGGTGAACCAACGGCAAAGGAAGACCTTTCTCTCTGTCTCTCTCTCTCACTGTCCACTCTGCCTGTCAAAAATAAAAAAAGTACCAAAAAAAAAAGGTCTCACATGGGTGCAGGGGCTCAAGCACTTGGGCCATCCTCTACTACTTTCCCGGGAGCATTATCAGGGAGCTGATCCAGCCAGGACACAACCAGTGCCCTTATGGGATGCTGGTGCTACAGGCAGGGGCTTAACCCACTATGCCACACCACTGGGCCCAGGGAGAAAAGTTTCAAAAACAAAACAAAGCAGGAGCTGGTATTGTGGTACAGTGGGTTAAATTGTTCCCTGTGACACCAGCATCCCATATGATCTGGCACTCAAGTCCTGGCTGCTCTGCTTCCAATCCCCCTCCCTGGTAATGCACCTCAGAAAGCAGTGGAAGATGGCCCAAGTGCTTGGGCCCCTGCACCCACGTGGGAGACCCGGATGGAGTTCCAGGCTCCCAGCTTCAGCCTGATCCGGCCCCAGCTGTTGTGGCCGTTTGGAAAGTAAACCAGCATATGGAAGATCTGTCTCCATCTCTCTCTCTGTCACTCTTTCAAATAAATAAGTAAATCTTTAAAATAAACAAATGAATAAATAGAAACAAAAACAAAATAAAGCAAACAGAAACATGGCACAGTGTTCAGATCCCATCACCTGAACATTATCACGGGTCTACAGTAAGATGCCTAGGCATCGGAAAATATTCCGAGGTGATTCTCATGTGCAACAGATTGTATGTTTTTATTTTTTTAAAGATTTATTTATTTGAAAGAGTTACACAGAGAGAGAGACAGAGAGAGAGATCATCCATTCACCGGTTCACTCCCCAACTGGCTACAAGGGGCTGGAGCTGCACTGATCTGAAGCCAGGAGCCAGGAGCCTCCTCGGGATCTCCCACATGGGTGCAAGGGTCCAAGGACTTAGATCCTCTTCTACTGCTTTCCCTGTCCATGGCAGAGAACTGGATTGGAAATGGAGTAGCCAGGACTTGAACCGGCGCCCATATGGGATGCTGGCATTGCAGGTGGTGGCTTTACCTGCTACACCACAATACATTATAATCCTTTAGTTTCTGAGGGTAGGGTTCCTGACTTAGGAGTACATAAGAGCTGGTAAAACAATGGCCTAAAGTCCTGGTGAATACAGGTCTAAGAGTTTTGAGTTTTGATGTTCTTCTAACAGGAATTTTCATTTTAAAAAGTTTTTATTGTGCTTGGCATTGTGGAGTAATAGGTAACGCCACCACCTGTGATGTAGGCATCCCATATGGGTGCTTCTGATCCAGCTCCCTGCTAGTGGCCTGGAAAAGACAGCAGAGGATGGCCCAAGTACTTGGGAGACCTGGAGGAAGCAAGCTCCTGGCTCCTGGCTTCGGCCTGGCCCAGCCTTGGCTGTTGCAGCCATCTGGGGAATGAACCAAGAAATGGAGAACCTCTCTCTCTGTTTCTCCCTCTCTCTCCATAGCTCTTTCAAATAAATTAAAAAAAAAATTTTTTTAAACTGTGTATTTATTTGAGAACCAGAGACAGACAGACAGAGCTCTCATCTGCTGGTTCACTCCCCAAGTAACTATAGTAGTCAGGACTGGGCAGAGGGAGTTGGAGTCAAAAAGCAGGAATGCAATCCAGGTCTCCTATACACAAAAGAAACTGATCAAGAACTGTGGAATGATACACATGAATGAAAGGAGGGAAGCTCCAAGGAAGCAGAAAAAATAACCTTCAGTTATGAGGAAGCATGAGTAAGAGAGGACAGACAAAATCTCTCACCTCTGATACAGGGCAAAGTCATGGGTATAAAATACCACATGGAGTACACAGGCAATAGTTTAATAGCCTGGTACTGGGTTTCTCAATCAGGACCTCAACCTGCCTTTCCAACCTGAGTTCCCACAATTTCCAAGTACAGTTCACCACTTACTCAGTGGGCCATTCCATAGTAACAAGTTCTGGGGCCAGAGCTTGTGCTGGGGGTCTCCTAGCCACCCCGTGAACCTCACATCTCTTTTAAAAAAGATTTTATTTACTTGAAAGGCAGAATTGCAGAGAGAGGGACAGAGAGAGCAAGTGAATGAACAAGGTAGTAAGCTGCCCCAGTGGCTGGGGCTGGGCCAGGGCAAAGCCAGCAGCTTCATGTGAATTTTGCACACTGGTACAGGGGCCCAAACACTTGGGCTAACTTCTATTGCTTTCCCAGGAGCATTAGCAGGGGGCCGAATTGGAAGTGGAGCAGCCAGGATTCAACTTAGCAATGAGATGGGATACTGGCATTGCAGGTAGCAGCTTAACCCAGTGCACCATAGTACGAGTCCTCCTCCAATATGGTTTCCTTCCACGTCTCTAAATCCTCCCTTTAGGTCAGTGGCTTCAAAGGAGGAGGATTTCTCCACCCTCCCATTCCCCTGGCACATCTGGAAGTGTCTGGAGACATTTTTATTGTCAAAACTGGGAACCGCTACTGCCATCTAGTGAGTAGAGATCAGAATTGCTGCTATTTAAGCCCTACAACAAAGAATTATCTGGCCCAAATGTCAACTGTGCTGAGGTCAATATTTCTCAACTACTATTCTTTATTACTGTTCCCTAAGGAGACATCTTAGACACCTTTTTCCCAATCACACTGTTCCTCCATGAAATTCTAGTATGTGTGTTGTATGTGCATTTGTGACTTGCACATTTAAAAAGGTTACATTTTTCTCACGCTGCTCACGCAGAAAACTAATTTTCATTCCTTTTGTGGTACTGTCTCCTCCAAAGAGAATGCATAATCCAGCTTGTGTTCACTCTGCTCCTTCTGCCTGGAATGACTTTTAGGTCTCACTAGTTTTGTATATTCAAACTCCTCGCATCTTTTGGGGGAGCCTTCTCTAAGGTTTTACCATCTTTACCACAATGAATCTATCTTCCTTAGAACTGAAATCAGGGTACTCAATCAGGGTTACTTCACATTTGTCCTTGGATTATCACATCTCAGATGAAGATAAGGCCTAAGTCTTCCAACTCTCTGCATTCTCCTATCTCTCAAGGCCCCCAGCTCAGTACAGAGCCATGTACACAACAGCTGGCTCTTAGTATCTTCCTGTTCCTTGGATAATCACAACTATTCCTATGCATTTGATAGAGAGTAGACTAGGAGAACAGAAAGAAGACTTTGCCAAGGCTCCAAGGACAAAGTAACAACGAACTCACGGAAGTAGCTGACGTTGCGAACCCACTTCTGTGCTCCTTGTCCCTCGGCACCAGGCAGACAGGGCACTTCTCGTTTCCCCAAGAACTCCTCAATGAGAGCCAAGGTGGAAAGGCTCTGGCTAAAAGGGAGAACATTTGGTTCAGATGGCTCCCATGTCCAAAGGAACCTTGTTCCCAATGTCCACACTTATGTGCAACCGTCTGAGAGTGGGAGCCCCCACAACTTTCTCCCCATTAGAGGTAACCCCACCGAGAAAATCAAGGATATTTTCCCTAGTTATAAAGCGAAGAGGGTCATTCATTGATTGCCACATCACTTCATTGCCACTTTCTCCATTCCTTACTTCCTAATTTAAAAATCCTGTTGTTGAGCTCAATGCACAGTAACAGCTAGCATTCAGCTTTCAAAAACAATTGCTGCATCAATATATATTTCATCTGATTATGGGCTTCTGGCAATCAATAAGTCTTATTAGGGAGACAGAATCACTCAGCTGTTTCCAAGATAAGTAGACAGCCAGTCTCCTCAGAAGTGACCTATAAAATCAGGGGAACACGAGGCTGTCTCAAGGTTAGAATCACTGCTGTGCTCTCAAAGTATGTCACATGTGGAAGCCTTCCCTCTGAGGCTCTGAAGCCAGGCTGCTGCACTGGGCTGTCCCAAGCCATAATCTGATCAGAACAAGGGAGAAACAATCTACTTTATGTCTGTTTGGGGGGGGGGGGGGGGAGTCAGGCCCTGATGAGATTCACAGCCCTAGCCAGACTGAGAATATGACTCTGGAACAAATCACATCACTTATTTGATCTTACATACCAAAGCTTTAAAAAAAAAAAAAAAGACCAAGGAGGAATATGAGCAGATTAGACCCAGGCAAGTAAACACTTTGTGTAAAGGGTCAAATAGCAAATATTTAGGTTTTGTAGACCACAGATACTCCCTGCTGTGTATTTCTCTTTTTTCCTTTTTTTTTTTCAAACAACCCTCTGAAAAGGTAAAAATGGCTCTTAGTCTTGTGTTGAATAAAAACAGGTTAGCCAGATTTGGCCTGGGCCACAGTTTGAAGGATTAGACTATACTCTCCAGTGTTGGCCTAGGACTCTGAATTGGAGAAACTGCACTGGATAAAGAAAAACCCTAAGAGATATGAGATGTAAGACGGTCCTTATGAAAAGCAACTGGTTGCAGGGTTGGTGTGGCCCATGCCACTTCTCACCATAGACACATAGCCTTAGCTGGGAATTTCTCTTCCTACCTGAACACGAGGATCTTATCCCCAAGCTTCACACTTTCCTCAATCAAGTGGAAAAGGAGTACCATCTTGGGAGAGTTCTCTAAGACTCCAGTCTGGTAATTAGTCAGAAGGTCCTTAGCCTATAATAAAGAATTGAGGCAGTTTGGAGCAGGCCCTTAGTTAGATCACCAGAAGTAAAACTCTCCCTCCCAGGCACAGTTCACTGGCTCCCTTTGTAGATTCCTGCCGAGACTCTGGCAGTATAGCACAGGTACATTCCCACCCTCTTCTCAGGTAGGCCTTGCATATCCCTTGAACAGTTTAGTTACTGAATGATCTGTTGGACTCACCCATTCATATGTGACAATGTTGTTGCCTCGCTCCTGGAAAGGGTTGAAGCCAACTCCCTGTAGGAACTTGCTATTGGTTGCCTCTCCCATCGAGGAAGCCAAAGTGTTATCTTCCCCCTTGCCTTTTGTTCCTGGGGGCAGGCAGCGGGCACTGGTCCCCGCAGAGCCAAGCTCTTCCACATCCAGGTCCTGCTCATTAGCCAGGTTTTCCTTTTGAAGAGCTTCATACAGCACATCAGGGTGATTCCAGATCTGAGGTTCAAGGAAGGGGAGAGGGGAGCAAAGGATAGAGAATATTCCATAGGTGACACAGGAGACTGGAACTATGCACCAACTCAAATACATACCCCACGCCAATGGTACACACTGTACACCAAAAATTACAGTATCTCTCATGTCTTCACAGTCAAAGGACCTGCATATTTGTCTTCACTTTCTTTTTTCTTTTTTTTTTCTTTTTTTTTCTTTTTTTTGACAGGCAGAGTGGACAGTGAGAGAGAGAGACAGAGAGAAAGGTCTTCCTTTTGCCATTGGTTCACCCTCCAATGGCCGCCACGGCTGGCACGCTGCGGCTGGCGCACCGCGCTGATCCGAAGGCAGGAGCCAGGTGCTTCTCCTGGTCTCCCATGGGGTGCAGGGCCCAAGCACTTGGGCCATCCTCCACTGCACTCCCGGGCCACAGCAGAAAGCTGGCCTGGAAGAGGGGCAACCGGGAAAGAATCCGGCGCCCCAACCGGGACTAGAACCCGGTGTGCCGGCGCCTCTTGGTGGAGGATTAGCCTAGTGAGCCGCGGCACCGGCTGTCTTCACTTTCATCTCTCACCACCGTAACACATGAGTGGGAGAGTTCACACCAGTGTGTGGTACCTAATCAAAAAGTCTGTTTCACAAGGTTTGATTCATATTCAAATAAGAATAAGAATGTCCCAGTTTCACTGTTCAGCTACTTTATGAAATAGGAAACAAGACTAATCTCTTCCTATGGATGCAATGTGTTTGCCTTTTGGGTGACTAATCACATGTCATTGCAGGAACTGTGCCTGTCGAGAGATGAGGACTCCTGGGTAAAGGGCAGGAAGGAGAGGGAAGGATACACTAGCACCAAAGCATCACCACAGACCACACTGACTTTAGTTTCCTAGCTCTGGTCTAGGTCTGTGGCCACATAAGTTTCCAAACCCCACCAGTCACCTACACACATCTCCGGCTGAATAATACTTAATATCATGAATAATACCTAATAGATCTGTTGAGAGCACAGCCAGAAAAACCAAGTCCAAGACACAGGTCCTTCCATAACCAGATGAGAGATCTCAATCTAATTAAATAATCGAATGAAAGGCACTCCTAATATTTTATGTAAGCCATGTATTTCTTGAATCCCAATTATACTAGCAGTCAAACCAGTCTGTCTCACAATATTCCTCTATCATCCCCTTTTACAAGTGAAAAACAAACAATCAGTGAGAAACAAAATGACTTCCCAAGTTTGGCATAGCCCTGGTCCCAGTTATACTACACCTGTGAGTGGCACCCCCAGCAATGTGTGGCACACCACCACACATCTCTCCTTGGAGTTCCCAAACTCCCAGTGCAATGAACTGAGGTGGCCTTCCTCTCAGTTTATTTTTCCTTTATCAAGCACTCTCAGCAAAGTACCTCACTGGGAACCACATTCGTCCTTAGTCCCATCTCAGTCTTCTCTGAGACCCCACATACCTTGCAGCACACGCAGAAAGCCTTGAGAGGGTTGAGCCCCAGCCAGCCGCTGCTGCCACAATCCCGGAAGCGGTCCATGAACTGCGTGTACAAGTCTCGCTGGATCTTGGAGAGCCGCACTAGGATCACATTCTCTTCCTTGGCAGGCAGATGAATCTTCAGTACAGTGTGGCCTCTCCTACAGGGCAGAGATCAGAAGTGGCGAGGCTGGGTGACCAGGAGGGGTCACTGCAGGATAAACACAGAACCTCCCATTCTGGCCTCATTACCTGCTTCAGGATCTCAATGTGCACTATGCTGCAACAATGCAGAGTGAGTGGTTCAGCAACCACTGGAAGAAACTCCCCTTAAAGACAGAAACTAAAACAAAAAGAAGAGAGACCTATCCAGGTCATAGCTGACTAGGGGACTTCCAGGTTCTTAGTCTAACTCAAGGCTGCCTCTCTGAGCTTTATCCACACATGTCATCACAACAAGGGAAAAGCAGAATATTGCTTCTGACTGGTCAAAGCTCCATCTACTGAGATGGTGAGCTAGTAAGGCCAGGCCTTTAGAACCACTGCATCTGTTCTCTCCCCTATGTCAGCAGAACACTGGCTCTCTCTTGCTTCTCTCAGCAAAAAAGGTAGGTTCTTGTAACTTTAAAGAAAATTTCTGAGAGAAGTACTTGTAAGCCAAACTTTCAGATGACTGAAACAGTGTGAAACATCTACCAGCTATTCACATAAAAGCAGGTTTTTCTACTGTGCCACTAGGAAGGGGTCCTCCAATTCCAACATCTCCCCTTCAAAATAGCCTCGCATGCCCACTGCACCAGGGGCCCCTGAGGATGGCTCACCTCTGCACAAAGCCCTCTAGGAGGCTATGCAGGACATGGCTCCGGTACCGCATGAGGCGGACATCCTGAGGCGTGCTGTCAATACACTGCCCATTCAGGATAGGGCGTTCAAACATGTTGCTGAATTCTTGCCGGGTGCCAAGGAAGTCTGGACGCACAAAGTCCACCATGCACCAATACTCGATGAGGTTGTTCTGCAGGGGGTACCCAGTCAGCACCACCCGGCGGCGAGAGCGAATGTTCTTCAGAGCCTGTGAGGTGCTGGCCTGGCAGTTTTTGATGCGGTGGCCCTCATCACAGATCACCACATCAGGGCCAGGGCGGCATAAGGCCTTCTCAAACTCTAGGGAGGGAAGAGGATCCGCGGTCAGAGGGTGAGAGGGTCTGTTCTTACTCAATAATATGAGAAGTAGGGGTGCACCCTGGAGGAGACAGAAGAAATGAAGGAAGCAGGAAAGCAAGAGTCAGCCCCCAATGATGAAAGGGAGCCAGCCAGCCACGCTCCTGTGCATTTGATGTGACGCTAACCTGGCCACTGACCCTTGCAACAAAAATCCCCTTTCCCCCATCCCTTTCCTTATTTTTTTCTTTAGACTAATCGTAAAACCGACCTGCATTCCTAGAGTTTATGCCAGCCGGGCAGCAGAGGGAGGAAATTTACAGTGCTAGCTTAGGATTAAAGGGTGTCTGGATGGTTGGCTCCACCTGAGGGCTGGCTGGTAGGAGCCAGACAAAGGACAAGGCCTTCCCATAGTTATTCACTGGTCAGCTAAATGATAAATTCATCCCAGCTCTACTACAGAAGCAAACCTAGAACAAATGTAATCTCGCTCAGCCTGTGGGCTGTACAAGTCCCACAAAATCATTTGGTCTGATCCTGCCAAGGCAACTTCCTATGAAACTTGGAATTCAATAAATCTATAGCAGGCTAATTTTTAAGTTGATAATGTTACATGGTCTGTGAATGATGTTATAAATATCCAAATGGCCCTTCGCAGAAAGAAGGTTTCCCACCCTTGAAGACCTATAAAATGAAATGGGCTCTGAGCCCTTAAAAATTTATTTCTGGGGTGGCACTGTGGCACAGTGAGCTAAGCTGCCACTTTTGACACCAGCATACCATATGAACATCGGTTCAGCTGCTCTGTTTCCAATCCAGTTCCCTGCTAATGTGCCTGGGAAAGCAGCAGAGGATGGCCCAACTTCTTGGGCCCCTGCCATCCAGGTGGGAGAACCAGAGGGAATTTCTAGCTCTAAGCTTCAGCCTGGCCCAGCCCCAGCTATTGCAGCCATTTGGGGAATGAATGAGATATGGAAGATTGATCTCTCCCTTTCTCTCTGGTAACTATATTTTTAAAATAAAATAAATATTTCAGGGCCAGCACTATGGTATAGTATGCTAAGCCTGTGGCACTGGCATCCCATATGGGCACCAGTTCGTGTCCTAGCTGCTCCTCTTCCAAACTAGCTCTCTGCTTATGACTGGGAAAGCAGTAGAAGATGGCCCAAGTGGTTGGGCCCCTGTACCCACAAGGGAGACCTGGAAGATGTTCCTGGTTCTTGGCTTTCAATTGGCCCAGCTCCAGCCATTACAGCCATTTGGGAGTAAACTAGCAGATGGAAGACCTTTCTCTCTGTCTCTCCCTCTCTCTGTCTGTAACTCTACCTCTCAAATAAAAATAAATAAAATCTTTTTTTTTTAAGATTTGTTTTATTTATTTGAAAGACAGAGTTACTTAGAGAGGTAGAGCCAGAGAGAGAGAGAGAGAGAGGTCTTCCATCCGCTAGTTCACTTCCCAAATGACCACAATGGCCAGAGTTGAGCTTATCTGAAGCCAGGAGCCAGGAGCTTCTTCTGGTCTCCCACGTGGATGCAGGGACCCAAGCACTTGGGCCATCTTCTACTGCTTTCCAAGGCCATAGCAGAGAGCTGGAATGGAAGTGAGCAGCCAGGACTCAAACTGGGGTCCATATGGGATGCTGGCGCTGCAGGCCAGGGCTTTAACCCACTGTGCCACAGCTCCAGCCCTAATAAAAATCTTTTTAAAAAACTTCATGGAAAATAGAACAAGATGGATTTATAAATAATAAATAAATAAATCTTTAAACAAACAAACAAACAAAAACAGTTTTAAAAATCAGCAAAGCTCCTCAGAAAAGGGAAGAATTAGGACTTAGAGGAATGGTTTCCACTAAAGCAACTGGTATAAATTCCTTTTAGAAATTCATAAGCACTACTACTCTGTTAGGGAATTTTAAAAAATATTTAGTTGAAAGGCAGAGTTACAGGGAGAGAGGAAGAGGAGCAGGAGAAAGAGGAGGAGGAAGAGTAGAGGAGAAGAGAGATCTTCCTTCTGCTGGTTCGTTCCCCAGATGGCTGCAAACACAGGAGATGGGCTGTTCCAAAATCATAAGCCAGGAGCTTCTTCAGGGTCTCCTATGTGGATGCAGAGGCCCAAGTATTTGGGTCATATTCCGCTGCTTTTCTCAAGCCTTTACCAGGAAACTGAATTGGAACTGGAGCAGCCAGGAATCAAACTGGTGCCCTTATGGGATGCACGTGTCGCAGGCAGAGGCTTAACCTGCTATGCCATAACACTGGCCCCTATATTAGGAATTTAACCTAATTTCTTAACGTTTTCTCAGAACATCTCTAAGAAGTAGTAAAGGGAATGGGTCTCTCCCAACTGTTATGTAAGAGAAACAGAGAAAGATGGACAGGAGTCCCCCTTCACCAGTGGATGGCCTAGCCTCATCAAAGTCGCACTGCTGGCAAAGCAAGCAGCACCTCCCGAGAGCCACAGAGCTTGTTCCACCTAGCGGGGGGGGACCAGGACTTCCGTTACATGACAACTCACAGCAATAATGCACTTCACATTTGACTAGGTGCTATCCACAGACACTATTTCTTCTTTCCTCAAACCCCCCCAAGAGTATTCCTGGGAAAGGGAAAGGCTGCCCACCTCTCCGAAACTCCTGCTGGCGATCCTCCTCATCCAGATCAATGATGACCGGGTGAGAGCGTTTCTTGGACTTCTTCGTTCTACCTGTGGCAAAGGATTTCTTCAGAGTGAGGAGTCTGTACATTTCATACCCCATCAGCAGCACCCCACCCTCTGACACCCAATCAGCCATCACTTTAGCACGAGATGCCATCGTCCTGCAAGAGTGAACAGAGAAAATTGTGTGAGATGTGAATTGTATCTCAAGAGTGCTGTTTGTTTTTTTTGTTTGTTTGTTTTTTTTTTTAAGGTGGACAGAGAAAAAAGTATTACTTTTTCTGCTGCTCTCCAGGAAGAATTCCTCACAATCAAAGTTATGTTGATATACATTCAGGGCTCCTCATTGCCAAAGATTACATGTGGTGCCAAGCAGAGGGCTATCCAATTACCCAAGGATCTGCCTAACATCCCAGAGATACTAATTGCAGTGCAGATGGACTGGCTTACTGGTGACGGTCAAACAGCAGGGGCAAAAGGTAGAGAAAATACCAACCACCTTGGAGGTATACACATGACTACAATTCAAGGTTTGAGGGAACATTTCAAGTTATTCCCACGACAAACACATGGGAATAACAAAAGAAAAGGCAACATTCTGCACTTCACCTCCCCAGGTTCCAGGGAGTAAAGAGCCGAGGATAAACTGTAAAGGGACAAGAGCAGCAGAGCCCAGATGACCCTCAGCACAGTGACTCTACTCCTAAACACCTGAGTCCTTATTGTACTTCACTGACTGTACATGCACTAACAGTCCTGAAACCCAAGAAAGGAGAACAAGTAAATCATCATAGTATCACAGTCTGCTGGTTTTTACATATGGAATTTATTAGAGAGGCACAGAGATAGATAAAGACACAGAGAGCTCTCATCTTCTGCTGGTACACTCCCCAGATGTCCCGAAGAGCTGGAGCTGGGCCAGGGCCAGCAGTTGAGAATGCAATTCATGTCTTCCACCTGTGGACAAGAATTCATTTACTTGAGCCATCACCACTGCCTTCCAGGGTCTGTATTGGTAGGAAGCTGGCATTAGAAGACAGGAATGGAACCAAGGTACTCTGATGTAGGATGCAGGTGTCTTAACCACTAGGGTGACTGCCTGCTTCTGATATGTATGAACCAACATGCCAAAGGCAGCCTCCACAAAAAATAAAGTTTATCTTCTTAATTAATCCAAGCCAATGAAGGGAAAGCACCATAAGGATAGGTAGCTTGGATCAAAAAATAGCTTTAGATTTTTGGAAATCAGGTTGACCTTATAAAATGGAAACATAAATAATTTTATTTAAATCAAAAACAAAATTTGTACCTCTCAAAGTTTTGGAAGTTGGGGCTGGTGTTGTGGCTCAGCAGATTAAGCCACCACTTGCAATACCAGCACCCCATATTGGGAGCACCAGTTCAAGTCCTGGCTGCTGGGCTTCTGATCCAGCTCCTTGCAAATGCTAATGCATAGCACCTGGGAAAGCAGTGGAAGACTGGGCCACCTTCCACCCATATGGCAGACCCAGATACAGTTCCTGGCTCCTTGCTCCCACCTGGTCAAGCCCTGGCTGTTGTAGCCATTTTGAGAGTGAACCAGTGAATGGAAGATCTCTCTTTTTTCTGTCGCTCCCTCTCTGTCATTCTATATAACAAATAAATAAAATAAACGTGTTTTTTTTTTTTTTTTTAAGTTTTGGAAGTTGTACCATTTAAGGCCACCTGTACAGGCAGGTATTGCATTGCAGGGGGTTAACAGCCACTGCTTGGGACACTCATATCCCATATCGGAGGGCCTGGGATTGAGTCTCACTTTTGGTTCTAATCCAGCTTCCTGCTAAAGTGCCTGGGAAGCATCAGATGATGGCCTAAGTACTTGTGTTCCTGCCACCCATGTGGGAGGCCCAATGGTGTTCCTGGCTCCTGACTCTGGCCTGGCCCAGCCCTGGCTGTTGCAGCCATTTGGGGAGGGAACCAGCAGATGGAAGATAGTATCTCTGTCATCTGCCTTTCAAATAAGTAACTATTTTAAAGAAAAAAAAATCCAACTATAGTTTAGTGCTTAAAAGAAGAGACTGGGGGCCGATGCTATGGCACAGTGGGTTAAGCTGCTGTCTGTAGTGCTGGCATGCCATATGGCTGTCAGTTCAAGTCCCAGCTCCTTATGCCACATAGGCTCTGACTTGGATCTCGGATGTTCCACATCTGATCCAGCTCCTTGCTCATGTGCCAGGGAAAGCAGAAGATGGCCCAAGTACTTCAGTCCTTGTATCCATGTGGGGGACCCATAAAGAGCTCCTGGCTTCTGCCTTTGGATCAGCCCAGCTCTGGCCATTGAGGATATTTGGGGAGTGAACCAGGGGATGGAAGATTTCTTTTCTCTGTCTTTCCTTCTTGCTCTGTAACTCTGCATTTCAAATAAATAAATCTTAAAGAACAAGAAGATGGTTAGGTTTCTAAGATAAATGCAAAGAGTAAAAAGCTAGAAGATGGAAGGTTCCATTCTATCATGCCGAGTTTTATTACTGTACACATGGGAAAGTGTGACCATGTCCACAGATTCTTCATGCTATAAAAGCATCTTAAAGCATAATACAAGAAACTTCCCGGCTACAGAAGTCTGGCTTTATTGAAAAGCTACTCAGAGAAAAAAAAATGGAATGCAAAAGCAGAGAGAGGAACACATTAAGAAGCCAAGGGAACCTGGGAGGATGGGGCATATTCTCAGACTGCCTGGACAACTAGATCCCAGGGAATAATTTAAAAGGAATGGGGCAGAGAGCTTAGGGCAGGCCACCTACTTGTGCTCATCATTCAAGATGTGAACTTTAAAAAATCGAGGCTGGATTTCTTCAGGCTTGTTGTCAGCTGGAAGGGTTTCAGGAGCTGGGAGCCACATATTGAACTCTGCCAGCCAATTTTGAAGGGTATTAACCTACCAGAAAGCCAAAGAAAAAATTTTAAGGAATGTTTACAGCTGAGCTCATCAAGCTTTTCAGGGCATGGCAAAGATACAAGAGACTAGGTGAAGCTTGTCCCCAAATCCTTACCGGCACAATGGCAAGGACTGTTTTGGCTGGCGTGTGGCGGAAGAGGACATCAATGAAGGAGATCACTTGCAAAGTCTTCCCCAGACCCATGCTGTGGGCCAGGATACAGCCAAAGCCACTACTGGTCTTAAATCTCTCCAGGGACTCCACTAGGTTATCATACAGGAACCGGATTCCACCAATCTGACAATGAAGAAACATAGATAAATGTCAGAGGGACTGGTAAAGACCAGGGCTCTAGCTTTATTCACTTCCAAATTCATCAGAATTAAGCAGAAAAAAAGCGTTATAATGGACAGCTGGTGTGGACAGCCACTGAAGTTTCCCTATACCCTGACTGGTCTATTGGCTGGTGACAATATTCTTAGAGAAAATGCAGAAAAGCATTCACCTATATACTATACACTATATATACTCTATACTATACCCTTCCCTCTGACATAACAATCTGCTATACCAAGTTGCTGACAGGGTGTTTCACTCAGTCTGCCCTCAGCCTTGGGGAGCTCATCATCCCCGCATGGTAGCCCTTTACATAAGGAGTCCTATTTTAGGGTTCTCCTTTTATTTTAAATTTATTTTATTTATTTGAAAGTAGATATGGGGAAGGAGAGAGACAGAGAGAAACAGAGACACAGAATCTTGCATCTGCTGGTTCACTCCCCCAAATGGCCACAAGGGCCAGGACTGCGCCAGGCTGAAGCCAAGAGCCAAGAGCCTCTTCTGGGTCTCCCACATAGGCCATCCTCCACTGCTCTCCCAGGTGCATCAGCAGGGAGCTGGACTGGAAGTGGAGCAGCCAGGACTCAAACCAGTGCCCATATGGGATGTGGACACTGCATGCAAAGGGTCAACCTTCAACGCCGCAGCACTGGCCCTCTTTTTTATTTTATTTTTTTAAGATTTACTTATTTATTTAGATAGAGTTATAGAGAGGGATGGAAGGAGGGAGAAAGGAGGGAGGGAGAGGGGGAAGGTAAAGGGGAGAGGGAGGGGGAGGGGGAGGGAGAAAGATATCAATCCTCCACTGTCCAGATGTCTTCAATGCCCAGTGCTGGGCTAAGCTGAAGCCAGGAGCTTCAACCAGGTCTCCCTGGTGGCAGGGGCCCAAACACCTGAGCCATCTTTCACTGCTTTTTCCAGGCCACTAGCAGGGAGCTGGATTGGAAATGGAGCAGCCAGGACATGAACCAGTGCCCACATGGGATGCCAGTGTCCCAGGTGGCAGCTTTACCTACTATGCCACAATGCCAGTCCCTGTTGTTAGAGCTCTTAAGCTGAATCATCCTCCTCTAGCTTCACAGAGCTTTAACTCACTGATCCTGTTTCCAGGTTCTGGATCAACATCAACGACTCAGCTCTCTCCAATCAGAAAATCCCTCTGACTTCTCTCACCTCTCTCCTGCATCCACTCTCCTCCTAATCAAAGCACTGCTCTTAGGGAGTGTCTTGATCTGTCTTCCTGATCCCGCAGCAGAAGGTACGAGATTATTAGGCCAGGAGCTCCAAAACCTTCTGCATGGTAGGGCAAACTCTCTTTCCCGTGTCAGAAATTCATCAGGAATCAGTAAGCACCAAGACCTTTCTGATACTGGGTTGGCATTGTGGCACAGTGGGTTAAGCCATCACCTGCGACACTGGCATCCAATGTGAGCACTGGTTCAAGTCCTGGCCGCTCCACTTCCAATCCAGCTCTGCGATAATGTACCTGGGAAAGCAGAAAATGGTCCAAGTGTGTCAGCCCCTGTCATCCACATGGGAAATCTGGATAGAGTTCCAAGTTCCTGGCTTCAGCCTGACCCAGCCTTGGCCAGTTAATTAGCAGACAAGAGATATCTCTCTCTCTACCTCCCCTCCGTCTTTCAAAGCAAATAAAAATCTCTTTTTTTTTTTTTTTTTTTTAAAAAAAAAGACCTTTCCAATAGCTGCTGTTGGTATCAAACAAATACTTTACATGCTGTGATGCTAATAACCACCAGCAGGCAATGCCCACAGCAAAGAAAAGGAGAAGAGAGTCTAGATTTGCTGTACCTGATGAGGTTTCACGGCCCGGGCCAACTGAGGGGCCAGGAAGACATTCTCCTCCTCTGGAGGGTGGTTCAGGTTGACAAGGACCCGCCCAAGAGAGTCATGCTGGTTCAAGATATCATTCACATGGGTGCCCCCCTTCTCCTCTTCCTCATCCTCCTCACTGACAGACTCACTGCTGTCCACAATGTGCAGAGTGTCCTCCTCTCCAGAGCTCAGTTCAATCACCTCTGAGACAGCAAGAAACAACAACAGAAAAACAAAAACACATGGGAGCAGAGATAATTTACTGCCTATTGTCAAAGCAGAGGACACAGAAACTCAATGTTACCACTGTCGGCAATTACAACATTTTTTAATTTTTATTATTTCTCTCTTCAGCTTTGAGTTAAAATAAGGAGAAAACAGAGGGTCAGGAGAAAGGGGAGGCACCTCTGGCTCCATCTTACCATCTCGACTGCTTTTTTCATCCTCACTGCCACTGCTACTGTCCAGACAAATGACTTCCTGGGCCAAGACCTGAGGAGGCAGCTGGGGACCATCACTTGCTCTTAAGACAATCTCCTCTACGGAAGAAAAGAAGGAAAGGCAGGTCAGAACCATGTTTAGCTCAAACATATCTCCTAGAATGAGTCCTCACCCTTCTCTGCTCTCTTATGGGGAGTATCCACTGGGAAAAGAGGCAGAGGTTCTCAATTCTTAGTCCTCTTTCCAAAACTTCCTTTCTCTATCGGTTCTGGCTTCCTGCAATCCATGTGACTAGAAAAGGTCCTTAATCCTGTGGCATGTTGAGATTCAAAGTTATGCATAGCAATCTAAATAAAAGTAATTCGAGGAGTATATTATCTTTACTTTTTAAATGTAGTTCTTCTGGTTGGGTGCTATTAAGAAGCTGAAGGACTTTAAAGGATTCCTGAGAGGCTATAACTTTATTCCAGGTCTGTCCCTGACCACTGTGCCTGCCAAAGGTCTCTTCTCCCTGGAGCACAGGGCCTTTGCTGCCTCCTTTACCGCTTACCTGGGAGGAACTCCAGGGGAACTGTGGGAATGGGGGCTGCATAATCCTTCCTCTGCTGCTCCAGACGCTTTCTTCTTTCCAACTCTTCCTGTTGTGCTGCTTTGGTAACTGGCTCCAACTGATCTTCCCGGAGTAGCTTTCTAAACATTAGAAGAGAGAGTGTCCAAGTTGGCTTAAAATTCAGACTATGTAAGGCAAGCTAAACAGGGAAATCACCACTACTGAGCTTAGAGAACTGAGGGCAAAAGAGAAGTAGCCACTTCAGTCCCACCAAACCCATGCAACCAGAAGAGTAAAAAAAGAGACACAGAGACAACAGATTTCAAACCTTAGTGGTTCTGGGCTAACAAACTTTCCATACATTCTTTTAAATTTTTAATCAATTAGTTAATTAATTTTTTGGAAAGGCAGAGAGAGAGAAATAGAAGGAGAGTTCTAACTGCTGGTTTACTTGCCAAATGCCTGCAACAACCAAGGTTGGGCCAAGCCAAAATAAGGAGATGGGAACTAAATCTGGGTGTCCCACATGGATGGCAGGGACCCAACTACTTGAACCATCACGTGACTTCCTAGGGTGCTCACTACAGGAAACTGATTTTCAGAACTCAAACCCAGGCACTCTAGGTATAGGTGTCCCAAGCATCATCTTAACCACTGGGACAAACACTTGCCCCCATTTTCCATATTATTCAACTTCCTGTCAGATGCCCCTGCTGACTCATCTCTGCACATAACATATCAAGAGTAAAAGAGAAGGGGCCTGCGCTGTGGCACAGCAGGTAAAGCCATCACCTGCAGTTGCCAGCATTCTATATGGGCATCGGTTTGAGTCCCGGCTGCTCCACTTTCGATCCAGCTCTCTGCTATGGCCTGGGAAAGCAGTAGAAGTTGGCCCAAGTGCTTGGGCCCCTGCATCTACATGGGAGACCCAGACAAACCTCCAGGATTCTGGTTTCAGTTCGGCCCAGTTTCAGGCATGTGGCCATTTGGGGAGTGAACCAGTGGATGGAAGACCTCTCTCTCTCTCTCTCTCTCTCTCTCTCTCTCTCTTTTTGATTCTACCTTTCAAATAAAATAAATAAATCTTTTTTTTAAAGAGTAAAACAGAATAATATACAAGTCAGAAAGAATAAAAGCAGTATTAAAAATAGTTATGTGGGGGCCGGCACTGTGGCGCAGCAGGCTAAAGCCCTGGCCTGAAATGTCGGCATCCCATATGGGCACCAGTTCTAGTCCCGGCTGCTCCTCTTCTGATCCAGTTCTCTGCTATGGCCTGGGATAGCAGTTGAAAATGGCCCAAGTCCTTGGGCCCCTGCACCCATGTGGGAGACCCAGAAGACGCTCCTGGCTTCGGATTGGCACAGTTCCGGCCATTGCAGCCATCTGGGGAGTGAACCAGCAGATGGAAGACCTCTCTCTCTGTCTCTACCTCTCTCTGTAACTCTGTCTTTCAAATAAACAAAATAAATATTTAAAAAAATAGTTATGTGGGAGGCCAGCGCTATGGTGCAGTAGGTTAATATTCCCTGCCTGTGGCACTGGCATTCCATATACGTGCCAGTTCTAGTCCCAGTTGCTCCTCTTCCAATGCGGCTCTCTGCTATGGCCTGGGAAAGCAGTGGAAGATGACCAAGTCCTTTGGCTCCTGGGAGACGGAGAAGCAGCTCTTGGCTCCTGGTTTCAGATCACTGCAGCTCTGGCCGTTGTGGCCATCTGGGAAGTGAATCAGCAGGTGGAAGACCTCTCTGTCTCTGCCTTTCTGTAACTCTGCCTTTCAAATAAATAATCTTTTTAAAAAAATAGTTATGTGGAGAAATAGGACTATAGGGCTTCTACATTCCTATCCCCCAACTTAGAGCACTATGTTCAAGTTGTAATGTTTGCCTTTTTCTTTTAAAGTGAAGGTGAGAGGAGAAAAAGACACCATTTCTCTCCTTTGATTGGCACAAATTGTTTTGATAAAAGGAAGGAGTAATGGCCGGCGCCAGCTCACTAGGCTAATCCTTTGCCTGCGGCGCCGGCACACCAGGTTCTAGTCCCGGTTGGGGCACCGGATTCTGTCCCGGTCGCTCCTCTTCCAGGCCAGCTCTCTGCTGTAGCCCGGGAGTACAGTGGAGGATGGCCCAAGTGCTTGGGCCCTGCACCCACATGGGAGACCAGGAGGAAGCACCTGGCTCCTGGCTTCGGATCGGCACAGCACGCCGGCCACAACACACCGGCCATAGTGGCCACTTGGTGGGTGAACCGAAGGAAAAAGGAAGACCTTTCTCTCTGTCTCTCTCTCACTGTCTAACTCTGCCTGTCAAAATAAAATAAAATAAAATAAAATAAAATAAAATAAAATAAAATAGAAGAAGAAGGAGTATTGGGGATTTGGAAAGTTAAGCAAGTTCACATTTGCTCATAGTTTAGCTCAAGGAAGCCATGCTTTGGTCAGACAGAAAACTCAACTTTTACCTTTCCTCTTGTTTTGAAACATGAGGAAATAGAAAGGAAGAAACAGAGTCCAATGCAGAACACCCTATCATCTTTGGGCTGCCACCCAGGGTCTGTTGGGGTCAAGATCGAAGCACCCTCTGATAGCCCAGGCCTAGTGGTCCTGCGCTGCATCTTCACTACTGATGGGGCACATGGCTAGCCACTTTTCTCCTTTGGAGAGAGAACTCTCCAGCATAAGCCAGTGTTTCTGCCATGGGCAGCCTTTAGATGAAGGTGATACTGCTACTCCTTCCCTGCCCCCTGACCCAGAACACAGCTCACCGTATGTTTCTCCTCATGTGGGAGGGCTTCTGGGCTCTCTTCTTTTTGGGGTCCTCGGAGGCTAGGATCTTGCCTTGGTGGCGCCTAAGCTGCTCTGAAGGCTCAGATTGAGATGAGGTAGTTGAGGCGCACCGTGGCGGCTGCTGCCCATCTTCCCCCAGCTGGGCATGCTCAGGGCCACACATGCCTTCCAGAGATGGGTCTGGGGAAAAAAAAAAACAAACAAAAAACAAGAGGTGCATTTACTGGGGTGGGAGTGGGGGATACGTTTTGCTGCCAGACACATCTGGTTCAAATATCAACTCAGCAACCTATTAGCTGGTAACCTAAGGCAAGTTACTTACAGCTCTCTGGAAAAAAAAAATTTTTTTGACAGGCAGAGTGCACAGTGAGAGAGAGAGAGAGAGAGACAGAGAGAAAGGTGTTCCTTTTGCCGTTGGTTCACCCTCCAATGGCCGCCGCACCACGCTGATCTGATGGCAGGAGCCAGGTACTTATCCTGGTCTCCCATGGGGTGCAGGGCCCAAGCACTTGGGCCATCCTCCACTGCACTCCCTGGCCACAGCAGAGAGCTGGCCTGGAAGAGGGGCAACCGGGACAGAATCCGGCGCCCCAACCGGGACTAGAACCCGGTGTGCCAGCGCCGCAAGGCGGAGGATTAGCCTTGTGAGCCCCGGCAGCGGCAGCTCTCTGAATTTCAATGGATGTATCTACAAAATGAAGGTAGTGATACCAAACCTCAAAGTGTTGTAAGAATTAAATAGTATGTATGCCTAGAATCAAGTCTGGCCCATAGCAAATGCCAATCATGTCTCCCACTACAGTTTAGCACTAAGCTCAGACTGAGGGGCTTTCTGGCCTCAGAATGCTCAGGGAAGAGTATCTGAGCAGCTGGGTTCTCAATCAGCTCATACTTTATTGTGCGACTCTAAGCAAGTCTTTTCACCTCTTTCTGTCAACAGGGAGGATACTCCTTGCATGTCTTACAGCATTTACTCACTCAACCATCTGATGAGGGCTTACACTGGGGCAAGCACTGTCCTAGAAGCTTCAAGAGATGTTTGTTAAAAGACTCCTTCAGTGTAAGGAGTTCTATTTCGGAAGACAGGCCATATATAAACACAGACGTGACATGGCAAGATACACTTAATATCACAGAATGGGCAGGTCAAGAGACCTAAAGAAGTTAAAGGTTTAAGACCTTTTTTTCAGCCAAAGATAATTAGCTAAACCAAGAATAATTGTTATCATCATAGTAATATGACAGATGCTACTTTATACAACAATCACAAAGGAATTATACAGGAGGTAAAATGCAAGTAGGCGCAGAAGCTAAGCAGAGTATCTAAAGGTAATATCTCAGAGGAGAAGGAGGGAAGGGAAGAGATTTCTGGCAGAGGAAATATCATCTGTGACATAAACACCTTAAGTAAGGACCAGGGTTGGAGTAAGATCTATGTGCACAGCCCTCTCCCCATCTTGGCGATGCCCCACATCCACTAAAGCCCCTCAGATACAGGCAATACACAACCAAAAGGTTTTTCCCAAAGTTAAGAGGAATTCAACACTAGAACATAAATGCCAGATCTGAGGTGCTCTTGACAATGCCAACTGGCTCTGAGGCAGGAAGAACCCAGCTGATCTGTGTTTTTGGTGGCTTTTTGCTTCCTTTAAACTAAACTATAGATTTTATTTGGTTTTCAACTAACGTCCTTTTTTTATTTTAGGATCCCATCCAAGATACTATATTGCATTTAGCTGTCATGTCCCCTTAGTCTCCCTTAAATAGTGGCAATCTATTCTTATCTCTCATGATCTTGACACTTTTCTAAAAGAGTCCATGAAATACCAGACACTGGTCAGATGTTCTCTAAACTATTCTCCAATTTGGATTTGTCTGATGTATTCTCATGACTGAACTGGGGTTAAGTTTTTCTGGAACATCACAGAGGTGAAATGCCCTTCTCATCACATCAAGGATACCTGCCATCAACATTATTTATGCACTTCAATCACTTGGTTATTTGCAAGGATTCTCGACTTTAAATTACTATGTTTTCTCTTTCCATATTTTATTCATTAGAAGCAAACCAATAAGCCCAACCCACATTCAGGGAGAAGAGAATTAAGTTCCATTTCCCGGAAGAAATATAATATTCTATTGGTAGTTCTCTATTTATCTCTTTTCTTCCACATTTATTACTAGGAATTTCTCTGTAAAGGATATCTGCCCCTCTTATTTAATTATTCAGCACTCTGTTTATATTAGTGTGGACTTAAAAGAATCTATACAGTTGCGGCTTACTAAGCTAATCCTCCGCCTTGCGGCGCCGGCACACTGGGTTCTAGTCCCGGTTGGGGCGCCGGATTCTGTCCCGGTTGCCCCTCTTCCAGGCCAGCTCTCTGCTGTGGCCAGGGAGTGCAGTGGAGGATGGCCCAAGTACTTGGGCCTGCACCCTATGGGAGACCAGGAGAAGTACCTGGCTCCTGCCATTGGATCAGCGTGGTGCGCCGGCCGCAGCGTGCCAGCCGCGGCGACCATTGGAGGGTGAACCAACGGCAAAAGGAAGACCTTTCTCTCTGTCTCTCTCAATGTCCACTCTGCCTGTCAAAAAAAAAAAAAAAAAAAGAATCTATACAGTAAGAAATATTCAAGCCTGGAGGCTTTGGTAAAGAGAGATGGGGTTGCTATAAGTCTTAACAAGTGAACCAATAAGTTACTGTACCTAAGCCAAAAGAAAGATGATGAATCATCACCCTCTGTACTAAGGCATCACTAGTAAACAATGATTAGGCTGTTTTCACCATCAGTATCCAAGTCAAGGAATCAGGAGTGTCCTAGACTTCCTACTATTGATCATCTTCTACATAGCTCAGTAAGGCCTCTTCCTTGTCCTATTCATTCCAGGTTCCTATGGTCCCTTTCATATTGATGACGGGTTCTAGAACGGCATAGAGTTGGAAACCAGTGTTTCCTTAGAGATAACTGGGCCTAAGGGTTCAGTTTGGATACTAGGGCCAGACTGCTGGGTTGTGAACCTCAGTTCTGTCCCCATTTTACCTTTCTGTTCATCAGTTATAAAAATGAAATAACAACAGTGACGTCAAAGGGTTGTGGCGATGACTATCTAAGATAGCCCAAATAAAGAACTAAAACACAGAGCACACAAAGCTCTTGGACCTTGGTCAGTCATACTAGGTAGCAATATTTATTTCTGTGAAGACCTCAAACTGCAATTTTATATCCTAATCAAAAATAAGAAATAAGGAGCAGGTGTTAGGTGCAATTTAGTCACCACTTCGGACACCTGCATCCCATACTGGAGTGCCTGGCTCTGTTTCCAATCCCAGCTTCCTACTTTTTTTTTTTTTTAAGATTTTATTTATTTACTTGAGAGGCAGAGTTACAGACAAAGTGAGAGACAGAGAGAAAGGTCCTCCGTCCGCTGGTTCACTCCTCAAATGGCTGCAATGGCCGGAGCTGCACCGATCCGAAGCCAGGAGCCAGGTGCTTCCTCCTGGTCTCCCACATGGGTGCAGGCGCCCAAGCACTTGGGCCATCCTCCACTGCCTTCCTGGGCTGGCTATCCCAGCTTCCTACAACGCAAGTCCTGGGAGGCAGCAGATGATGGTTCAAGTACTTGGGGGTCTGCCACACATGTGGGAGACCTGGATGGAGTTCTGGGCTCCTGGCTTCAACTTGGCCCAACCCTGGCTTTGTGGAATTTTCAGGATGTGAACCACCATCAAGAGGATCTGCCTTTCAAATAAAAATGAAAATAAAAATTACACAAAATAATTTTAAAAACATCAGAAATAAGGAAGTAAAGGCAGAAGCTGAAATAACATGTACAAACTGCATTTTATCACAGCAGGGTGCACCACACAGAGAAACACGTAATATGCAGTGTGATAACTGCCTAACTATGACAACAGTTGGGGAAAAAACAACAATCTAGCATTACTTAGTGTTTGGCACTGAGGTGCCAAAATCTAGGTTTCATCAGTAGGCACTAGCTAGTAAAGAAATAAAGAATATTCTAGGAGCATAAGCAAAACAAATGCAGTGTTAAGAAAGAATGGCTGGAAAAAACATGTGCAGTTCAATATTCGCTAAAATATGGGTAAGCCCAGGAGATTCATTCCTCTGCAGTAGCACTGGAAGCACCTTCCTTAGCCCTCATATCAAGATAAACTGGAGATTTCAGGTAACCTTTGCTTTTTGAAGATCAACAGGGGAATGGCCCAGGAGGGCATCAGTCAAGCAATGCTCATTGATGAGATATTGCCATACCATTAAGACCTGCAAGAGGGGCCAGAGCCGTGGCTCACTTGGTTAATCCTCCGCCTGCATCCCATATGGGCGCCGGGTTCTAGTCCTGGTTGCTCCTCTTCCAGTCCAGCTCTCTGCTGTGGCCCGGGAGGGCAGTGGAGGATGGCCCAAGTGCTTGGGCCCCTGCACCCACATGGAAGACCAGGGAGCACCTGGCTCCTGATCGGCGCAGCGTCAGTCATAGCGGCCATTTGGGGAGTGAACCAATGGAAGGAAGACCTTTCTCTCTCTCTCTCTCTCACCGTCTTTAACTCTACCTGTCAAATAAATAACAAAAATGCAAAAAAAAAAAAAAAAAAAGACAAAAAAAGACTTGCAAGAGGTTGAAATTTGGCTCTTATTACCAACAGATCTGTAGTAGGCCTTTTAGAAAAGGCCTCCCAAAGAGGCCAGAGTGCAGGGTGGCAAGGAAACTCTAATGATGCAGTGGGAGCCTCGGCTCAGGGACAGGTTCTATTGTTCAGAGGAAGCAAGGTACCACTGCTTATGTGTTCAACCAAGAGAACTGAAAGAGAAGCTTCAAAGTAGAGCTCCAAGCTTGACCAGTTGCTCTCCCAAATTCACTATCCTCTTCAGTCCTCTCTAATTTCCATCTGAAATACTACAGGAAGAAAGGTTAGCAATTCTGTTTTCTTTGAAAAGAACTACCATTCCTTTAAGCAACACTTCCTCTCCCAAAAGCTAACATTTCACAAAATATTGCTGTCACCTTCCTCCTCCTAACTCACTGTCCTAAGTTTTTGTCTCCTAAAAGAGGTGGTCATCAAATTCCTCCTTTCGAACAAATAGCTAGCTGGAAAGCAGACTCTCAAGAGCGGGTGTCTGTTGCTAAATGACCACTTCCACCAATACTGCAGCTTGGCCTACACACTAACTACACTGGGGGCTGGATTGGCCCACTTCCACTTAGTGTGTTGTTGGGTCCTCTGGTCTAGTTCTGTGACCTTTGACATTCTCCATGTCCTTTTTTTATTCTGTTTTGTTTATTTCACAAGCAAATCTGTTGAGCAACAATTTGGAGGAACAGTTGGAAGGAAGGTTAGGAGACAGGCAGAGAAGATAGAGCCGGAGTACGGAGGGCAGATCTTGAAGGCAGGTCAAGGGGTTTAAAATTGATCTGTCGGATGGTGTGAACTTATAGGCAAATGTTTTATTTCCTTGTTCTGGCTTCTGCATCTCAGAGTAGGCTGATCCTAGAAGGAGAAAGAACAGAACCTGCTGGCCTTTCAATAGCACAGACAGATCCACTAATTCCAAGTTAAGAGGCCTGGCAGCCAACCCCTTTGACCAGCATAGGGCTGAATGTGGCCAAATGCAGCAGCAATTTTAACATGATCAGACGCAGTACACAGAATTCTCATGCATACTTATTAGTTCAGATACAGGTTCCCTACTTTCTTTTACGCAGAGGATACAGGTCTGTATCAGCTCCTTAGCAACCAGTATTCCTTGAATGAATCCTTGCCTGCTGGGTTCAACAACTAACTTTTGCTTATTAAAGAGCTTTTGTTATAGATATATTCATATTTATAGTTCATTGTCATGAAAGTCAGCCTTTTACAGGTGCTTCACTGCTGTTTCACAATACCTATCAGGAAGTTTCTTGTTTTTACATAACATAATATATACCATGCCTCTAATAAACTACTTTTTTTTTTTTTTTTTTTACAGGCAGAGTGGACAGTGAGAGAGACAGAGAGAAAGGTCTCCCTTTTTCCTTTGGTTCACTCCCCCCAGTGGCCACTGTGGCTGGCTCATCACGCTGATCCGAAGCCAGGAGCCAGGTCTCTCCAGGTCTCCCATGGGGTGCAGGGCCCAAGCACTTGGGCCATCCTCCACTGCACTCCCGGGCCACAGCAGAGAGCTGGACTGGAAGAGGAGCAACCGGGACAGAATCCGGCGCCCCGACCAGGACTAGAACCCGGGGTGCTGGCACCGCAGGTGGAAGATTAGCCTATTGAGCCACAGTGCCTATAAACTACTCTTAATAAAATATTATTTCAAAACTTCTATAAATAAATTTTCCCTAAGATAAAAGTTAACTTTACACTATAGGCCATTTTTGCCTTCTGGCTATTAATCACATAAATTTACAACTTAAGCTAAATAATTTAACTTTCAAGAAGTAGCCCTCAGGGCCGGTGCTGTGGCATAGTGGGTAAAGCCGCTGCTTGCAGTGCTGGCATCCCATATGGGCGCTGGTTCAAGTCCCAGCTGTTCCACTTCTGATCCAACTCTCTGCTATGGCCTGGGAAAGCAGCAGAAGATGGCCCAAGTCCTTGGGCTCCTGAACCCACATGGAAGACCCAGAAGAAGCTCCTGGCTCCTGGCTTTGGATTGGCCCAGCTCTGGCCATTGTGGTCATCTGGGGAGTGAACTATTGAATTGAAGGTCTCTCTTTTTCTCTCTGCCTCTGCCTCTCTGTAATTCTGCCTTTCAAATAAATAAATACATCTTTTAAAAAAAAAGTAGTAGTCCTTCTCAAACTCTATAATATAACTCACCAACAGCCAGTAAGAAAAAGGAGAAAAGGTTCAACAAGTAGGTAAAGAAACATGTGCTTTGACAGATGACAAATGTAAATTTGCATTGGCAAGGCTTGCAAGTTAATGACTATTACTGCCCTCATTCAGCTCACAGAAGCAGATCTGGGTGCAAACACCCCTGAACTTTCTCCTTCACGTGAGCCAGCGGTGAGCAGCACTGACCAGTTATACAAACACCAAAGAACACTTACATAAGCTCCTTGGGAAGGAGTTATGAACAGCACTACCACAAATGTGACTGAACAAACCAGTAGCTTTGAAAGAAGAAAAACTTGTACACTTCATTCAATGAGGGCACAAGCACAAAGCACTAGAGAGGTATCTTCCAGCTCCTAGTTTACTCCCCCAAATGCCTGCAACAGCTAGGGCAGGCCAGGAGCCAGGAACTCCATCCAGGTCTCCCATGTGGGTGAAAGGGGCTCAGGCACTTGAATCATGATTTGCTGCTTCCCAAGGTGTGTAACAGCAAGAAGCTGGCTTTGATGTGGTGGTGGGACTTGAACCTAGACACTCCAGTACAGGATGTAGATGTCCCAAGCTATGGCCTAACCCACTGTGCCACAACACCCACTCCTATTTTTTCTTTTTGATTTACTTATTTGTGGTACAATCCACTACAGCTAGAGTAATGAGTTTTAATGTTCAGAGAGCAACAATTTTGTTCTGCAAAGAACTAGATAATACTTTAGATGATAAGGTTTCAGTCACAGCTACTCAACATTGCTGCTGCACACATAAACAAGCAAAAGAATATGGCTGTGTTCCAATAAAACTTTGTTTGCAGAAATAATTTTTAAAAGGAATAAAGTTGTAAGACTCACACTTCCTGATTTTAAAACTTAACTACATAACTACATTAGTCAAACAGGCTGGTACTGGCATAAAGACCAGCATAATAGCACGAAAATAAACCCTTTGTAGATATGCTCAAATGATTTTCAACAAGGGTGCCAGATTATTCAACAGAGAAGGACAGTCTCTTCAGTGGTACTGGGAAAACTGGATATGCAGAATGAAATTCTTCTAAAAATTAACTCAAATGGACCTATGATCCAAATTTAAGACTTAAAACTATAAAATTCTTAGAAAAAAAAGGACAAAGTTTCTTTACATTGGATTTGGCAATTATTTCTAGACTATGATATGCAAACACACAGGGAACAAAAGAAAAACTAGATAATTCATACTTTGTGAAAATTTAAAACTTTGTACTTCAACAGAATAAAAAGGCAATCCATGTACTGACAGAAAATATTTACAAGTCATATACCCAAGTATTAATAAGCAAAATATATAAAGAACTCCACAATTCAATAAACAAAAAAAAACTGTGATTTAAAAAAATGGGTAAAGGACTAGCACACACATTTCTCCAAAAAATAAAAGTGACCAAGTAAACACAAGAAAAGATGCTCAATGTCACTAATCCTTAGGGAAATGCAAACAAAACTATAATGAGGTACTATCTGACACCACCAGGAGGGTT